ACTTTTTTCTCCTTGGCGTATTTGGATCCTCATCTCCGCCAGAAATTTGGCATTCGACTCGACACGAAGTCAACCATTTTTCACGTCTTGAACAATGGGATCGGTTCGTCAACTCTCCCATCCATACACACACAAGAAATAAATATTTGGTTTTCAAATGATTTCTGATTGATTCCAGGCGAACTCACACTCACCATGTCCGGGATCGCACCGGTTCTGAAAAATGAGGTGGAGAAAAACGTGCCGTTTGTCATTCAAGCCTACGGATCTTATTTGTGGGAATTGCATCAATTGGCTAACTTCATTCCTGGTGCTTGGGATCCAGAGACAAAACAGTGTGTGGCCTGCAGAATGGGATATTTCAACCATGCAGTACGTCGTGATTGATTTTTCGCTCCGCCAATCTATAGCTGTGTTCCCTAACCCGTAGAGAATTTTTTGCAGGTCCATGGAAATTGTCAACATCATACATTTATCAAAAGTAGCAATGAATTCTGTTATCCTTATGTGGAATTTTGGAAAAACAGCCGCAGTTGAAATTATCTGATAAGAAAAAAGTAGGCTTTTCTCCTAATAATGCTGTAGACAAATTTTCACCTGCCAAAGTAAATTATTTTAATTTTTCATTCTGAGATTCCTTTCTTCAAGACCACCTCTCTAATTTTCTAAAGACATTCCACTATAGTTGTTTTGTTGGTTCTTGGCTTATTTTTTTTTTATTGTTAAAAGTCTTTCAAACTGAACATTTTTGAGTCAATATTTTTTGAAATTTTATTGGCGGTGTTTTACAAACCCTTTAAACGACCAAACACCCGGGTTGTTCTAAACCCTCGTGTCCGGATGTCATAGGTTACTTGAATGAAAGGACCTATAGTTCATCCACAGCGGACTTTTTCTTGAAGTCCCAACTAAGCAATCTAGATGAAATCACTGCTTCAATAACATTAGGCGTTGTAGTGATTAAGACGTGAAGTTAATTCTTATGTCTCAATCGTCATCAGATTAAGAATTTTAAAATAATTTTCGATTTCTCATCAGGTGATTAAGACAATACACGTCAAACCACATTTTGAAATAAGCTAACGGTCCATTTCAGAATTTCACTATAGCCTATGTACAGCAGCATCTCATCCAAAATTGAGTGTTAATTATTGCATTTGACGAAATCTCATTCAAGTTAACCAGTAGAAATCATAACGGACTAAAGTGTTTATAACTCGCAGACAAAGAGATTCTACGTTAACTAATCTTAAACTAAGGTGTACACGAAAAAAAGTGTCGTACTTTCAGTTTCTTAATTTTAACGGTCTAATAAAGACCTAGTGGCAGAGAAAATTCGCGAAAGACGTTCCGGTGTACTGTACTGCGTTTATTTTGACTTCAGCGGGTAATTAGGACATTCATTACTCACGTAAATTTCTCCACGAATAATTTTTATTTGAATAAAATGAATTGCATTCGCAGAAAAAAGACTATCCTCTCGTCACACTCTCCGTGTTGATCCCACGACTGACGCCTTTCATGGATGACTTTTTCAAGCTCCTGAAAATCTGGGAGTATCCCAAGGACAAAATCGACTTGGTCATTTACGACAAGGTAAAACGAATTCAAAATCGTTACAATTACACGCCTTTCATTCGCGTCAGAGAATCTTTGCAATTCCATAGGTGGGAAAGCACGGAAAAAGTATCGAAAAGTTCTTCAATGAGACTTCAAGGGATTACAGGAGCCTCGAAATGCTAAAAACGACCAGCAAATGCGGAAACCGGATGACAGAATGGCACGCAAGAAACGCGGCTGTGTAAGTATTGATTAATCCGGTGCCCCGCGAAAAAAATCCTGCAAATTTTTTTTAGCAATGAGGGAAAAGAGGTTCTTCAGCTATTTTACTGCCAAAAAATAAATTGAAAAAAAAAGCACAGAATATCCCTCCGATTTTCCGGGCTTCGTTTAAAAATATCTCTCTCGACTTTCCGTCAATCAGAGGCTGCAAAAGCATTTTTAAATTGAGCTGCTTCCTTTACCTCACTTAAATCAAAAAAATTGTACAGTATTTGGAATCGTCTTGAAAAGTCAGCATAAATTTTAAAATGATACTGCATCTGAAATTCATCTGCCAAACGTATTTTTATAGCTGTTTAATTTTCCGATACGGAAATGGGAATAAAATGAACATAAGTCGAGAACAGCTTTTGAAAAAGGAGGCACTTCCGTTTCATAAGAAATTAATACACAAAAATATTATCTTACGCTCAGTGAAATATTTAAAAAATGCTTTCAACAGAGCCCACTGCAAAAAGAAGGGATCGCAATATTTTTTCTTCGTCGATGCGACAGCTCGTCTGAGCCACGATTTTTGCCTAAGGCTACTGCTGGAGCAAAACAGGTAAATTTCAACCAACACACTTTTAATCCGAATTTTACAAATCGAAAAAAAGAGAATGAGCTACATCTTTTACAATTTTCATTTTAAAAAATGTGAGGATTCTGAAAGGTGAGCGCCAGCACAATTTTTAAAGTAATTATTTTGAAACCAAAATAAAAGCTCGCAAATGAATTTCAGCCTGAATTCCGAGCCATCTGAATCGTCATTCGACAATTTTAAAAATTGAGCAAATCGAAGATTTGGTTGGACTCTTCACTCAGATAGGAAATGGAAGAAAATCAGCATGAACGCTTGGAAATTTGATATTTTGAAATTAAATCTCCCGCCCATTCAATAAGGTTTCTGAATAAGCACCAATCGAAAATTTGACTTTAAAATTTTCAGTTCATCTTCAGTGCCATTCACACATGTTGTCTTTTTCGCAGATAAAAAAACCACTGAAGAAGCATTTATCACCAATTACTTCAGTGAAAATCTTCTCGCTGGACCTCGCTTTTGTTGGCTGAAATATTACTCGGTTTTTGAAGCACGTCAAAAAGAGGTTTTCTCTATACTCTTGAATGAATTGTAATCACTGTATTTGGAATTTTAATGCTCATTTTATGGGAGAATTATCCTTGACAAGCTGAGGGTTTGTTTCAATCTATTTATAAAACCATGCACTACAGTAATTGGGAAAAATATATAAATTTCAAACGAGAAAAAAGCTTCCTCTAGCGTTAAAAAAAAGTGGCGCGGATTCCGAGGTGATTTTTGTGACGGAGCTTTTCTTCGTAGCATATTTTTCATGTTGTAAATTATAGAAAATATACTAAAAGTACTTTTTTTTACTACAGAAGCGTGATTGCCCCCATGTTGCCTCACACACACCCAGAATCAATATTTGCGGACTACAATTTCCGCGGGTTGAAATTATCAGATGACACGTACCTGAAAGGCAAATACGACAAGCTGATACAGACCAACAATATAACGTTAGTTGGACAGCAAACAATTTTCTTTACGATTTGTCTCTTTTTCTTCAAAATGAGAAAATTTGATTATGTTTCAGGGGTCTATGGATCATGCCACTCATCACCCACTCTATGCTGGTTGAAAGATCTGTTCTGGATGCCATGGGTGATGAACCATTCGTTCACCGGCTTTTGGAACCCATGCAAGCCTTCAGCAAAAATCTCATCGACTTGGTAACACACAAAAAAATCTCTGAATCCGATTCAGTTTGTTTATTGGCACAAACAATTTGCACTCGTTTCAACGAGGTATAGCGAGGGCATTTTATCGCGAAGCCAACTGTGCTTCATGGATTAAAACAAAACAAAAATACAGCGTGGGGCCCCGAGATGCGGACGTATTTGTTATTGGCTCTCGGACATAATTTTCAGAATGTCAGAAGTCACATTACGTGTTCCCATAGAATTTAATACGGACACGCTCAAATTTTTCTCCTGTTTGACAAAAATGTAGAAAAAGTCTCCAAAGAATTAAATTCATTTTTCTTCTCAAATTCAAGATACAAAAAATAACTGTGCAGAAGAAAGCCTCGCAAAATTTGGCCTTTCGGCACGAAACTGAGTTCAAAAACCAAAGAACAAGCAGACGTTTTGCTGGTCTGTGCACAGATGATGAAAAACCCCCAAATATTAAAATATTTTGGATTATGAGTTGGAGTACGTTTCAAATAAGGATTTTATTTTGAATTTTTTGCGAATAGCTCAATTTGTTCAAGAGATATCAAAATTTTGAGGAATAACCGTTCTTCGCCTCTTTGATATAAATGTTTGCCAAGTGTCCATATCTTGAGACATTTTCTAGAAGTCGAAGCACATTTTTTAAAGCTTCAAATGTCGTCAAGTCGAATGTTGGGTCGTCCATCAGTCAAAGCCCTAATGTATTTAATTTACGAAGTGAAGAGCTGCGACAATATCTTCAAGAAATGATTCGAGTACTGTTTATCACAAAAAGGGGGAAAACTTTTGTCAGAAATAAATTCATCCACAGTGCCTAAATCTCAAAAAGATTGATTTCTCCAGGAAATCCCGATGTACATAACGAACCGAGTGCGATTTGGCCACGTCATCACAACAGCCAATTACAATCCGGACGATGGAGCAACAGAATTGTACCAAATGAGAGAAAATCCGTGGGATTGGAGAGAACACTTCAAGCACGAGACTTATGACGCAACAACCGCTTTCAGCAACATTTTACAGGTACAGTACTTTACAGTCGAACATCCTTAATACCTCACATAGTCGACTTTTTTTTTAAGTTTATGCCTGGAATTTTTCTTTTAGAAACCTCCCCAACTCAAAGGATTTCCCGCCCAAACATCCATAACAAATTCTCTAGGGGTTTTCTGTCAATTATTCTATCGACACCGGAAAGAGAAAAGCAATAAAACGTAACTTGATGGGTTTTTCAAGGAAGTGGTAGACTAACAGGGTAAATGAACCGTCGCCTCCAAGTTTAGCATCCCGTCATCTCATTAAAGAAACAATTTAAAATCGAAAATATCACCAGCAATAAAAATTTCATGTAATTATCCTTTCTCTTTCCCCACACAAACTCTAATTTTCCTTATATTGTAAAATCTTGTTACAACAAACTCCTGGGGACCTGAGAAAAAATTTGTTACAACAAAAAATTTGCTGTATCAAGATTAATTAGTTTTAGCACATTTCACGCTGCAATTTTATTGGAAATATGGAATGCATACTTTGAAATGCTTCTAAAACACAGAATTCAAGACCTAGCATAATTAGTGATTACTTCTGATGAAATGAAGAGAAATCCATTAATATAAAAAGTAATTCCCTCTAAATAAACAAACATTAGTGCTGGAGTATTGATGGTCATGAAAAATGAAACCAAAATTACATGTGGTAAACACATTCAATTTTCTTCTTGATCAATTTATCCACTCATGGCTCTTTCTAAAATGGATGAGCTAAAGAATTTCAAGAAATATGTCCTGTTGTGTATTTTTTGGATAGCAAGTTTTTTTCATAAAGATTTTTTTATGAAGTTGTAATGCTGTATTACTGCAGAAAAAAATTCGTTATAAAATAAAATTCGTTATAACGAGATTCATTGTAACAGAATTTTACTGTACTCAAAACCTCCGGAACTCGAATTGCGTTCCTGGTCCCTTGAAGTTCTACTTGAACATGTTCGACTGTAATAATTTGCAACAACAAAAAATTAAACTCAAGCTCGCAAAAAATAATTACAACCGTTGTTTCCGTGTTTAGCCCTGTGAGAATGTATACATGGCACCTCTGGTCAACAAACGATTCGTGATGGAAATTATAGCTTCGTATGACGAATTCACAATACTTCCGCTCAACGACGTGAGGAATATTATTTTCAAAAATACTGTACAATACTGTGAAACCGAACCAAACCTTCCTGACTCACTTCCAGGGCCGTGATAATGTTCGAATTTTGAGTATCGCCAAGGATGGAAAGGATATCCTCGATTGGGAAGTAGCTTTGTATTACTTGGTGCAGCCGATAATCACCCTGAACTTCCCAGATCAAGAAGCCATGGTGAGAACAAACATGAGCATGTCCTTATGTTGGAACGTCCGCATGTCGGATCACTTTCTTCCCTCATAGACTTCCATGGAAATACAGTATAGCTGATTATCTTGCCAATAAAAAAAAAAATTCTCCCAAAATTTGAATAAAATAATTTTCCCGCCTTCGAAACATAGAAAATAACTGTGCCGAAGAAAACCACACATAATCTGATTTTTTGGCATGAAAAGGAATCCAAAGGACACGCACAAAAGTCTTCCTACACTCTGCACAAATTACGGAAAAATTCCTAAAACGAAGCTCAAAATTGGCCTGTTTTTAATTACGAATTAGTGATTTACAATAAGTTACAGTATTTTTAATTTTAGGAATACAGTGCGAAGTTACATTCTTTTATATAAGATAAAACTTCTGAAAAATACATTTTCAATTTGTCTGGAACTGTTGGTGAGGTGTCCGTATCTCGAGACATTGCCTGTTCCTTTTTTTCGAGGGAGATGTTTCGAGTATCAAGTGTCACGAAGTCGAATCCATAATTTTTTAGAAGTTAATTTGTATTCTAATTCGTACTTTAAATTTCTAGACTTCTCTCTACACCGGAGGACACATTTTCCTCATACGACACAACGAAACCACATCAAATTGGCCGACATTCAATATTCCAAGCAGCATGGACGTGACCATGATCATATCAATAGCATTGAATAAGCACGGAAAAGATTTTAAGGTATGATGAAATCGATTGAATGTCGGGGATGCATGATTTCATGATGAAGTACTTTAGCTGTACAATTCCTTTTTTCATTCAGGCACTGGGGTACAAGTTTGAGAGGTACGGCTGTAATGTGAGGCTAGAGCACCAGGGTTACGGACTCCTGCACCCCGCAGACATAACCCACGCTCACAGTGGACCAAGGGTCACTGAAGGAACCTATTACGAAATGGTCATTGGTGCTAGGGTTTGACGTGGCAACAGGTATTTCCCTGATTAATTCTCGATGGGAAGTAACCTCGTGTAATGTTGAACTTTCCTGAGAATACTGTATTTACCCAGGTACCAAGAGCACCTTTTTTCCAAAAAAAAAAAAACTGGGGCAAAAAAGGGGGCAAGTCATAGATTTCAAGCGACATTTTCTTCAATCTTCGACATTTTCTCGCCCCTTTTCTCTTCTTAATTATATGATTTCCAAAATAAAATTGAACTCAACTTTCAAGATGGGGTGGTATTTAGACTTTTCACCCCATGCAGTTTCCAAAATCTGGATTTTGGTACTGTAATTGAAAATTAAGATACGTTTCTCATGCTGAGATGGATTTTTTCCCAAAATTTAAGCTAAAAAAAAATGTGTGCATCTCACTCCAGAGTGCAATATAATCTAGTAAATACAGTAGGACAGCACATTTTTTGTAAGAATTTCACGAGGAAAATTATATTTTTTTTATTCAAATGCTAATGAGAGCGTCATAATTGACTCACTCAGTAGTCAGAATGAAATATCGGTCTGGTCTGCGAAGTGCAATTTTTCAGAAACTACGAGACGTAAAAATCTGAATTCAGCCTCAGGTAGAATGGCATCAATCTGTTTTCAATATTTTTTCTTTCCAATAAAATTCAACATTCATTTGTGAATGACAAGATTTATGGACACATTGCTGTCAAGATTACAATTTTGGACGCTGTTTTGAGGGAAAACTAGCACGCACATGATAAACAGCGATAGATTTTTAATCGAATTTTCTTATAAGCATCCTGGTGCGCATCTTACTCAAGGGCACATGCTGCTTGAGTAAATACAGTAACACAATTCCAGTAGAAGAAAAATAAAGATCAGATCTATCAACCGCCTAAATTACGGTATACAACCTTTTGTAAGAGAAATGCTTTTTCATCAAAATGAACCACATCATGTTTATTGCTCGAGACACGACTGGGATACGCTAACTGAACATGACAACACCTCACACACTCACCAACAAATAGTTTTTTCAGTCAACCTGACCTGAAGACGAAATGAACCTTGCAAATCGAATGTAAATCAAGTGGGCTGATACTGTTTGTGGGGAAAATATATGTAATCTGCGGGGGACAGCTTTCACGAGGAAGAAATATAAACAAGACTCACCCGCATTTTGTGTGCAGTACGAAATAAGAAGCAATGAATGAACAAAGGTACACGAACCTCTTATTCCCATCATGCATACCATGCAGAACACGCAGACAAAAAAATCCATTGGCTTTCTATTGCATCACATCAATTCACTCCGAGCACCGCACTCACACACTTCACGATTCCGTCGTATTTTCCTCGTTATCGTCGGAAAAAACGTAGTCCGATTCTGAATCGTTTTCACTGGATTCGTTCGGCGAGAGATCATTGATAGAATCTTGGGATCCTGAGGGCTGAGCTTCATCGTTGGAAGAGGATTTGATGAGAATGCCGGACTTTGTTTGCAACGCTTCCAACGCAATACTGGAAAGTGTAATAGTATCAAGCTTCAAGTTCTCGTAGACCGAACTTACAGGTGTCTTCAATTCATGAAGCTCCGCAAGGATGGTCTTCGGAACGAACTGCATGTCACGGGCTCCGAATACATTCTGGAATCAATCATAAACAACAGAAAACATTTAAATTGTCCGTTGAACTTCACATGAGTAACATCGAGAACAAATACTGTACTGTAGAAACTTTCCATGATGAGTGCTTGGGATCTCGAAAAATATTATATCGCTATATAAAATTGAGTACATTGAATATATACTGTATTCACGAATTCATGTTTTAAAAATGTTTACTGTCAGTGCCTCGTAAGCAGAAAGATTATTCAAAAATCTTCATGCTTACGAATCAGTGACTAAAAAATTGTCAAAACATCAATTCGTCACATAAAGAATTGTATTTGTTTATTCAGGCAAATATAAAAGAACAAAACGCACATATTTCCAATTTACCGTAGATACACAGAACAACGCAGTGCATCTTGTGATTATTGGCGTCTTGCATTCACACGCATTATGATGATTAATGGGATGGTTCAAAAATATGCCCCCATAAAATGCTGGATATCACATCTACTCCACCATTGACTTGTTTCCTGATCTACTATCACACAAAAATGGTCATTCAATTTCAAATTTAAATCCAAATCTGAGAGAGCATCTGACAATTTCTTTTCGCTTTGTACAATACTGTACTTCGTTTTCGAAGTTTCAGGGTTATCATGATTTTGCTGCAAGTTGAATTACACTCCAAAATAATACACAGCCTTTATTTGAATCACACATTTTCATTGCATTCCATTCTAGAATTTACTCTTATTTCATTCAAAAATTGGCAACTTTATACACGCGAATTTTGTGAGGCAAATATACCGTATATGGAAATATGGGTACATCTTGGAATTAAAAATGTTTTCATCGCGTAAACGGAGTTATTCTCAAGCAAACGTACCTTTTTCTTCCCTTCGAGGAACATCAGAGATTCGCAGCGAGCAACATAGGAATCAAAATGTTCAACAAAATTTTTAACCATAACTTTCTTGAACGGACTCTCATCAGAGATCTTCAGATGAGTCCTGAGGTTGTCCACAACAGCGACTCGGAGAGTTTCATGCTGAACGAATTGGTTGTACAATTTTATTTTGTCTTCCGAAACACTGTTCTTCGTGAAGCCAGGCTCGTTCAGAAGTGGTTCTTCCGTCATCAGCGACTGGATTGTTACCAGAAGTGTCGACAGGGTTATCGCAGGAGTCCATGGCGGGCCTTCCCAAGTTCTGAGGAGATACCCGACGCATGCCATAATTCAAAGTAAGTCATTTCTAAGACATAATTTATGTGATTACTGAAGTTTATGATCTTTTGTACTGCAGTATATTAAAACATCAGAATGGCAAAGCTGCCTCTGCTAATTACGGTATGATCCTCATTCCATTTCCGATTTTAAGATATTTCCGCTCCTCAATTTAGTATTCAGCGAGTCATCATTGAGCATCACACAACTAGCAAAAATGTGAATGATTTTCAATTTGGAAACAGGAGTAAGACCCTGTTTCAAACGTCACGATTTCTGGCACCAGGATAAACTGAGCATTCGTAGAACACACTAGCACGTTATACTAATTCCCTCAGTTCCTGAGAGCACTTCCAACTAATTATTCGCTTTTACTTCAGCAGGACAGAGAATTGACACAGGGGGCGGGAAATGTTCAAATACTGTACTGGTTATCTAAATAGCACGTCTCATTTCATGTCACCCAACTGGACGCACTAACAACAGGTAAATCTTAGGAACCAACCATCGACATAATGTTCAAAATCTAGATCATCTTCGATGACTCACCCCAGGGTGGAAACACAAACTTTCCCGTCTTTGTAGAGGTTCGGGTTGAAACGAACATTCCCATCAGCAGTGGTAAGAAATCGAACTCTCGGTGGAGAAATTGGATAATCGGGCATGCAACCGATAAGAAACATGAAGAAGCCACCTTCGTAAGGTGTTCCATCGGGTCCTAGGATCACGGCCTCCATGGAAGCAAGAAAGTCTCCTTTCGGCATCACGAAGATATTTGAAGACTCATCCTTCGCCAACTCTCGGATGTCACTGAATGACACACCAAATGTATGCTCAAGAAACTGGTAATCTAAATAAGGACTTACTTTTTCATTCGGATAAAAAATGACGGAGAGTAGCCAGCAGGTGAAGGCGAAATTGTCAGTGGGTCCCAATTCGTCTTGGAAAAACTCCACGCTATTTCAAAATCCAGTGGGGATGCAGCTGTGTCACTGGACTCCTTGGTTTTCTTACTTTTAGCTCCCAAATCCGACGAGGAGATTTTACACGATGACATCACGGAAAAACAGAAAAGATAGGTTTCTGCCTTCAAAAAAGGAAAAAAATGTACTTAGAGCACATAACTGAACGCATCACACGTTGGTCCTACCACGATAACATTCAATTTTCAACACATCACCTGCGTCCCCCCGCTCTTCCACAGGCTTCAAATTTTCGAAATATTTTTCACGTGAAAATACTGTATTCAGTTTCCCCGATATGTGAAAGTGACATCGGTCCTTCGAACAGCTGAGCCTTTCCATTTGCTAATCTCTCTCAATCATGAACCCGGGCAGAAATGCATCTTTTCCCTCATTTTTCCATTAAGCTTCAATAAGAACTCCCGAAGCAGGGAACGGTCCGCTTCAGATAAAAAGGCTTAATCTGCAGAACAAATCCAAATTTTCACGCTAAAAAAGATCAGGGAACCTATATAGTGGCTGTGGCACTTGCTCACAGGAAGACCAGAACGAATGGTTGAGTCGGCGAGGACATTGAAAATACTGCGGAAAAGCTTGCCTGGGTAAGGAAGGGCAGCTTCATTGATGTCATGCGCAATTTGCTGAAACTGCTTCTCTTTCGATGCAAAAAAAAATTAAACATATGTCTCTGAATATGCCTGATGTGCATAACACTTGAGGGCTGAACAAGCAAATGGTCCTATTCAGGGTACTCGTAATTCACAAAATCTTGAAATTTCCACACTTTGGGGCACACACGAACGATAAAACTCTTGCGGTCATTCATTGACCAACACTTCGTTAGAATCAGCCAACAAAGAGACAAGAGTGTATGCGTCATGCAGTGACTTGCTGAGTCAGCACTCAGAAAAATTTTTGGCTGGATCCCTCTACGAGAAAACGGTAATAAAAGTGAGATTTCACTTTCTTGCTGCCTACAATAAAGAAAAGGCAAAAGGGACAACTGAGAACCCAAGTCTGGAAAGAAATATAGATGAGCTGTATTACAACTTTTATCCCCCATCTTGAGAAAGCACAAACATGGTCAGACAAACGTTGAGCAAGGCTTCCTTTCCTTTCCAACCACTTTTCAAGAGACTGCATCTTTCCAGTTTTGAGACGTATCAGTGTAAGTAACTTTTCTTGCCTCTCTCTAAGTGAAGAAACATAGGACATCCATTTTATGGTAATTTGGTCCAATCGCAACATTTGTCATATCTAATGAAACGCAGTGCTGCGCAATTCTATGCAGCTTTCCGCCACTATGACTTTCTTTGATTTACAATTGCACAAAATTTGAACTAATGAGTACCAAAAAATGCTTCGTGTAAAATTGATCAGATACAACAATACCTACATCTTTCTCCACTGTATGTCAGCTCATCAACTGATTACCACAAATAAAGAAACATATATTTCATTCATCAACACAGGCTGTCAAATTGTGCAACACTGTGTGCAAGAAATTGTGTCATATATGGTGTTTGCGACTTCGCACATACAAAATTGATCCATCATATCCACCTCCTCCATTGACATTTTTTTGGGATCACACCTGAAGACGATCTTGTAACATCATGCACAGTTTGCCATTGAACTCCATAGGGAACATTGCTAGCAACAACATTTCCAAAGGGTGCAACGCCATGACTGGTTGATAACAAGGTCCGCTGGGCAGGTTCTCAAATAACATGGGTCTTGGATACATTACGCAGCTGAGCTTGAACTGTTCGGCCAGATTGCAAAGGAGAGTTCCTATAGGGGCAGTGGATGATTTTTTTTCTGGCGCATTAGCATGCAGATTACACAGGCACCAAGGAGCAGGAGCACGGTGATTGCCAAAATGGGGATAAAAATCTGAACAGATCATGTAGAACTTTGCTTTTACTCCTCAGCAATTCCACATAAAATAGCTCACCCACAGTAGGTTTCCTCGACCAGCTGCTCCAACAACTTCCCTGAAAGTAGGACCTCCCATGTTACATGTTGGCCACCACTTACTCTCTTTAGCCAGACCATAAATTTTTTCCGAAAAATGGTGTGCACGCATTGATGGTCAAACAGAATTCCTCGATCAGCTTTCGACTTATTGGAACCAGACTGACCACCGTGGCCTGTCATTTACCTAAAGAAACACCTAGGTTTTCCTGCTCTGACTCCAATGATCATTTCAACACCAAGCCTAGTGCACGCAAAACTTCTCGTGGGACTCCATGAGTTATAGTTAGGGAATACCCCTCAAAATTATCAAATGATTGAAAAACGCATCACTTCCAGTCAGGCAAAACTCCGAGTAGCCAACAATTACGCAGTAATTCAAAAAGTTAGCAGTAATTTCACCAATGATTGAGAAGCATTCTTCGGAGCTTTCCCACTTCGGGGGAGTCAGACTGTTACGAACACCTTCCACGTAAAAGCGCGTACAATCAATACACTGAATGCTTGTTTTCAGCACTTTTTTTTATGGCAAATTCTACAGGAATAGTTCAACCACACGCAATGGAAGGTAAGGATGGTACGACTGAACAAAAAAAGGGTTGCACGATAAGCGCCATGCTCACGTAACCTTACAGATCCACCTTCTCAACTATTAGGCAAAATTGGGATCACACTCACCAATTCTCGCAATGCCCAGAAAAGCTTGAGCAGGTGTTCCCTTGCTGTTCCTGATCAGTAGGAAGGATCTGTGTTTTATGGACTCAGGCAACACTACCGCAGTTGACTTGGAAACACTTGCCCAGAATTGTGCACTCGCTTTTGTGCGAATTGATTTACAGTAATTCGTAGAACTCCCTCTCGAATTTGCAGTTACACACTTCTGTGGGTGTAGAATTAATTTTCTGGAATTTCTTTTTTTTATCAATGTGTTCCTTCGGAAATTAGGAATGCATTGAAAACAGTTCAATAGTAGCAATCATTGAGTTGATCTGATCCCAGAAAATAATATATATATCTGGTAGGCGAACAAATGTGCAATAATTGATATAACAACTATAACAGTATAACAAGCATAAAATTCAAATACAGCATACACTGTATATAAATCATTTCTGTGCCATACTAAAGCATTAATGTATTATAAATATAAAAAAACAAGAATACAATATGATAACTGGACTGTGTTGTATAATAATTTAGCTGGGACCATGAATAAAAAATGCTCCCATGAGAATTAAGCAACAATAACTTAGATCATGAGCCAGAAGTTCATTTTTGTCTCTATTGCTATACAATCTGTATCAGTGTATGCAAGAGGATGAATTTTCAAAACGGTTAAAAATAGAAAAAATCAATTGTGGAAAACATCTTTAAAACTGCGTTTTTCTACTATTCTGAGTTTGATTTCCAGCATTGGCAAATTCAAAAGGAATTTGAAGGTAGGGAAAATTCTGACTCTCCTAAAGTAACTTTGAATGAGATATGCATGGCCACAAGTGAGCCGCTACTTTCTTTGTGTGCTCTGTTTTCTTTGGTGCGTGTAATCTAAATCATTTCACCAAATGTTCTATTATTTGATTTATGAAGCAAATTTATTACTGTAATTGATATCCAATAACCAGCAGTTAGGGCAGAAATTCGGGACTCAAGCAACAATCCCTCTCTTGGAATGTATGAGAATGTATATTCCTTGCTTGATACCTCGGTCATTGCAAACAAGTGAAAACGCCGTATTTTAACACGTTTTTATTACCTTGCTTTCTTGTCTGTTTGTTTGTCCAGATCAAATTTTGCTTTTATTGGTAATTGTGTAGAAAGACGGAAAAAGAAACTTGTCATTGTATGATGTCAATCTACCTGGGTGTTGATCATTGACTTTAGCCATTAATTTGATGTTGAGACTTGTTTCGCAGTCCTCTCGGCCAGTTTCGACAGGGTTTTAAAATCGTAAACCTTTGCGAGCCAATTTCTCATGAATGATTGCTTGCTGTGGTGAACAGCAAGCAATCTCTGGTGACTAGGACAGCACTATGCTGTCCTAGTCACCATTTATAGTGAGGGCCTTGAATGGTAGCGGGAAACGATGCCATTTTCCGGAGATCTCTTACCTCCCTAACGCGGCATGCTTTCGTTCTTCAGATATTCACCAGATTCGCAGGGCGGGAAGTTTATGTTAGCAGTTAGGCATTGTTTCAAGTGTCATACTGTTACTGATTCCGTAAGGCGGTGAATCGAGGATTTCCTGTTTCATCGAACGTGTGTTTTTTTTCTTTTGTGTCAGTGGAGAATGGTCGACGATGTGATGCGGAATCTGCCAGATCGTAAATCACTCCAGGGTGCAGGCAGTGGCGGAGAGTACAAGGCGACACATGATTTTCCTGATCAAATCGTTTCCCTTGCGATTTGCCGCGGAAAGTCCGTACCGTGTTGCGGACAAATTTGCTGGAATACATGCTTGTGAGTAGGACGATTATTTTAGTGCGCATATCTCGCTTTATTGGATGCTGTATCGGCAAAATCTTCAGAAAACCATATTTAGCCCTATGGTCAAACCGCCGCGCAAGTGAGACAGGGATGGCGCTTCATCTGTGGAGACGACATGCTTTCTTGGAATTCCGGAAGTTGACATGGTAAGTATAGGGGTAAATTCTAAACACATTTCCAACTTTTGATTTGAGATCGGTGGCAGGCTGTCATTGTACAAAATAGACATGAACCCATCCATTGCGGACTTGAGGAAAGTGGAAAATGTGTGCGACGCCTTTTTGCGCCGAGCGATGCGTGATGCTTATATGCATCCAGTGCAAGCTGTTGGTGTAGTAAGTTTTGAGTGTTTTTATCGACGATTTTTTTTTTAGACTGTTCGCTTTTCAGGAATCCCGTCATCATGGATTAATAGCGTCTCTCGAGCTGAAATTTCTTATTTGTGCTGCTGAGTGGGTCGCACTGAAGGCGCGTCTAAGAACTCGTGGAGACGATCCGACTGTTGACCATTCAATGCTCTCAACAGATGATATCTCTTCGCATTTTGTATCTCTGATTAGGCAATTTATGATTGCGTCGTCCCTCAAATTCTCCGGTTTATCGGTGAGATATGTTCTATTTTCAAGCAAATGTAAAAAATGAATGCGTATGATTCGGGATATTTTTCTGTTTATAGACTGGGGAAAGAAGCTGTGTTGGTCAGCCGTTCATGTGCGTTTGCATTCAAGATATCTGGAGAGCATTGATCGAGCTTGCTAAATGCGTTCCTGATGAGTTCCCGAGTTTTGATCTGGATTCAATTTTCGTCGCCGCCCTGAAGCATTTTTTAGAGTCGCCCTCGCCATTCTTGAATGATGATGAAAACCTGACTTTTGCGTGGTGGTTTTTCGATAGTATATCGGAAATTTTGGTGAGTACTCTCGGCAAAATTCTCCGACCATTTTAACTGTTCGTGCATTTTGAACTTTTCAGTTTCGTCCGGCAGCGATTTATGAACAATTGAATCGAAAGACATTGAACGAGCAGAACTCGCCGCCGGAAGACGAATTGAAAGTTCAGCTGGTGCATTTTTTGCGGTGCACTGATGATTCAATGACGAACATTTCCGGCAGGGTATTTTATGCTGTGAGCAAATCAATCAAATGCCAAGCTCCTCGTGGGCCACTGTTGGATCTCGCCAAGTATATATCTAAGTTACCGTGAGTCCTTCATTACTTTTGGGGACCTTTTCGAAGTATTGCAATATTGAATGTTGAATTTCACAAGATCTGACGCGGAGGATTGGAAATCCGTTGTGAGCAGACGACTAAATAATCCAAGCGATGTTTGTCGTGCTCAAGATACATTTGAAGTGTTCTTGCACATCTTGGGTAAGGTTTCTAAGTATACTTATTTCCACAGTCTGCTCAGAGTAGATAAAAGCGTCATCGGTAGCTCTGTAGAAAAATTCATCGCATGAGTTTCTCGGTTAATTTTCAAGTGTTTCTAAATAATATGCAGCGGGATTTTCAAGGTATTTTTATATGAATTCAGTTATTGTGATTTAATTACTAGATTGCGTGAAAATCAGGAATACGCACTGAATGCTAGCACGATATTTTTATTGTCTGTGGCTCGTATCCGATTTAGATATTTTATTACTGTAAATTAAAGCAGAAATTTGACGAACGTAATGGAACTTAATTTATAGGTAGTTCATATTTGCGGGGCTAATATTTGATGAAAAATTATGATCAAATTTTTCTATTTGTCTCACTTCGACCAGCTAAGTACAGAAATTGGAAGGAGTTCAAGAACAGAATGCGCGTACGATTGAAGTTCATTCCAATGGAACAGCTGAATGAGCTGGGATGGTTCCGTTTATTTGATCTTCTTTTGACATTGTTGATTCGATCCCCGGATCAGGTGGATGTGGTCAGTTCAATTTGAATCTTTCGGAGAAGCCGTATTTAATTGTCCTTATTTTTCAGCTGAAAGAATTTTTTTCGTGCGTCAAGAAGCTGGAAATTTTGCGTCCGACGAGACCAGAAGTGAAATCTGGGGCGTGGAAAATAGTCATTCGAGGCCTGTGGTCAGCCATGATAATTGTGAAAAGCTGTGATAATGCTGTCCAAATTCTTGCTGAAATCCTGGTGGAATTGTGCTCCAGTTTTGTAGCTGTGATGGAGAAGAAGGAAGCGTTTCTAATGCGCTCTGCATGTGAAGCTTTGGTGGAATATTATTCTGGACTTTCTCTGTTTTTGAAAAGCTGTGAGTATTTTTTTCTGCTAAGACTGAAAATAATCAGCATGAATACTGAAATTGACTTCTGCAAGTATGCTTTTTCTTCTCTGACCGTTGTAACCATTTTGAAGTTCCCTTTTTTTTATCGTGATGGTAATATATTTTGTTTTTACAATTTTCAGGCGAAATGGAACCTCCGTTAACGTCAAGTTCTTTGCTTCCGAAATGCCCTGCGAAGCTGTTTTCAAAGTTGGCGCGGTTGACTGACTTTTTGCCTGCCGTTTTGTCCATTCTCCGCTCTATTCGTTCGTCGTCTGAAATTCATCTTCAGAAAACTCCATATTCGGTAGAAGAGCAGCTTTTAAACAAATCGTTAATGGCTTGGATTTCGTCCATTTTTCAACATGTGTGGGAACACACGAAATCTCTTGCATTCGTGGATGAAGAAAATATGAAAATAACTGCATTGCCCAATCGAAATATTAGTGATATACTGGTTGAAACCACTTTGCTAGAGAAGCATTTAGAGAATCCACGTTCTGCGTTTGTGCAAATTGTGGAACAAGATGGCTTGACTGCGCGGCAGGTGCACCCTGTAGTTTTATGCTGTTACATCGTCAAGTTGATGGAGGAAGACGCTCTGAGAAATGTGCGAGAAACTCTTCTTTATGCGGCTTGGGCAAGGTTTGTATCAAAGTCGAATATTTTCGTTTGTCTAATGGCTTGCTTGAGCATTCCAACGTTGTACCTTCAGGCCGTGTAGCTTTCCAAAAATTATACGAGTATTCAAATGTATATTGATGGGCATGCTTTTTCAATGAATTATATTCTTATCGCGCTCATCGCTGATTCGAATATAATGGGGAATGCTTTTTGTTCAAAAAGTCGGTGATTTTTTAAAGAGTCTACTCGAACGAAAATGTATGCACCAAATGAGCGCATGACTTCTGAAAGAGTTCCCTCGACGCGAAAGCCAAACAGATCTTAGTTTTATATTCCATTTCGAATGAGTTAATCGGAGATAAGTACTGATACTTACAAGAGCTTTTTTTACTGTCTTAGATGTCATTTACTCATGCCGAAAGGTCATTGGGGATATGATGTGGACGTTGCAATGAAAACCATGGATCAGCTCATCAGTGGCTATCCTATGGCAATGAAAGTACTTCGTTACGTCGATCAAAATTTAATGCAAATTGACGACGATGAGTCTCAGTTATTTTCCTGTGAGGTGTCATCTACGGTTGTCCAGGAATTCCCATTCTGGAAGTTGCTCATCCTCGGATGTGTCAAAGCCTTCAAAGATGGAGAAGTAATTCAGTACTGAATTTTTTCTGGGAAGACTTCTTTCAATACTGGATCCTCTTTTGCAGGATGCCGAACTTGCATCTCTTCCGGAAGCGTTTGCTGGAATTCAGAAATGCTTCGGCCTTTTTTGCGATGGTTTGGATAAGTACTTTGCGGATGGACACAAGAAAGACGCATTTGTCAATCAGGCTGTGGAGTTCTGTGCTTTCCTCGTCTCTGAAGCCGTTAATCTCTTCACGCGTGGGGTAATTTTCAATGTGGATGAAATTGTTAGATTTATTTTTTACGAAGACCTTCTCAGCAAAAAAAAAATTCGAAGGACTGTAATGGTAACATGCGATCCTAGTTTTCTACGTCAAGAAAAACTATTACTTTCAATACTACACTTGGATGTAGGAACTACCGCCGATTTTCTTGGCTTATTAGTTGACGAATTGAACAACATTAAACCTTATGTAGCTTCTGATTTTTTCTAGAATTCTGAATATTTGAAATATTCTCTTCGATGATGTAATTCTCATGGTTAATGGTACTGTAAAATAACTGACGGATTTGAAGGAAAACATTGCTCGCAAAATTGCTTTTGCAATCTCCGCATTTATTTTCTGAATCTGCGAGTGAAAATGTCGACATTAATTCGGAATTATTCTAAAACTGGAAGTGTCGAACAATGCAACGGAGTACAGTATAGTGAGGAAAAAAAATTCAACAAGAGTGCGTTTCGATTTACTGGAAGTCTTCACTGCATTTTGCAACTGATGGTATACAGTAGTTTCTTAGGCGAGTTGACAGTTAAAACCTTGTTTTTCCCTCGGAAATCCCTACTGTGTGCAGTAATACTTGGACTTATCGCAGCACATTTCTCTAAAAAAAATTTTCATTTCGGCTCGCAGTTTCCGACTCTAAATTTCTGAACGCGTTAACTAGTTTCGAATGACACCACATTTTGGTTTTATGTCAATTCGCGAACTGCAAGGACTTCTCCTTTATCAAGCACACCATCTTTTTTGAGAAGAGTACATTTTTATTTTGCTACATCCTGAAATGATAAAAGAAAACAAAGGAAGCTTTTTAAAATTTTTCTATAGTTCAAATGAATCGATATCGTATTTTTTAATTATTCTTGCGCAGAATGAAAAATATCTTAACGTTGTGACTGGAATTATCAACTTCATATTCCTCACTCGGAGTGCGCGGTCAGTTGGAACGCTATTGAACAGGGATTTGTTGGATATTGCTCGTCAGCATCTCCCCACTGTGAGTAAATTTTTTTTTTCGCATACGAGTTTTCTCAATTTGTGAGACATTTTTATGAACAGGTCATTATGTCAATATGCAATGAAATCATGAGCTCACGGTGTCAAAGCAGCCTCGTCCGAGAATCGCTGCGAGGTATTGTTCAGCAGATGTTCGACTTGTACCTGGTTCGGTTTTCGCCTGATTCGGATCATCCTTTGTACAAAGTGAAAATATCCGTACATTTTAAAAATGTTCTGCGAACTTCAAAAACTTTTTCATTCATCAGGTTTTGGTTGATTTTGTTGGGAGCCTACCGTTGAGGATCCTGTATCAATCAGTGGAGAAGTTTTACCTGAGCCCCATGAGAAACCAGCGGGAAACTGAGATGGTTATTCGTTTTATTATAATGTTCGATAATTATATTTTTGTGACGTCGCGGTTTTTTTTTTTTTTTTTTTTTTTTTTTTTTTTGTTTTTTGTTTTTTTTTTTTTTTGTGGCGGCGGGGTTTTTTTTTTTTTTTTTTTTTTTGCGCAGTGTATGAGGTTTGTGCTTATGTTCGCCCGACAAGAGCAATGCAATTTCTTCAGCCAAGAAAGTATTCAACCAGTGATGCTGCGTTTGATGGAAACCGACTGGCCGAATCTCACGTTGCACCAAGAAATACTCCGACTTTTTTTAAGAAAAGGCGACCGGAGGTACCTGGGGTGAAATTCATTTATCTTCAGGGAATGTAAACAACGGACTATTTGCAGTGTCATCGTTGCTATTCTCCGACGGTATGTTGAGCTGAACTTGGCGCTGAACTCCGTCAAAACGAAAAAGCTGATCGAATTGACGCTTAAGGAATGTCCGCAGCTGATGAGCGAAATCCAGGATTTGACGTTTCCTATGATTGAGAAGGCCTTTGCTCAACGAGGGAATTTCAACGATCCTATTCTTTTGTGAGCTTTGCTCAAATTTGTACCCTCGGTTCTATTTCATCTCACATGTATTTTTTTTCTTTCAGGAGCATAAAAAAGATACTCGAGACGGATTACTGCAAGTGACGAAGTTTTCTGTATCGTATTAGAAGGATGATTTTATGGTCGAGAACGAATTTTTATATTGTGTAAGGTTTTTGAATTAAAATTGTCAAACATTTTTGGTTTTTATTTTGTTTTTCTGTTTCTGAGAGTGAGTAATGCTGTACTTATCTTTATGAAACTATTGCTGATAGTGTTTCTTGCGTAATCTAAAGCATTCATTAAAGACCAAGCGAAAATGTCCCCATGAAACCCTCATTCAATTACTGCTGAGTGTGTGCAGAACTTGTTTTGTCATTCTGCGCTACTGTGTTTTCTGGCAGATCCATCCACTCACTAAATTATTATCTGAATTTCCATATCTTCAGAAATTCTTCCAGCTGTGGAATAACTATTTTGTTGATAAGACATCAGTGTGTTACATTTCTTGCTATTAATGAGAGAGCTAGTTGAACAATATGTTGAGCTCAAGTTGAAGGATTGCAGTATCAGTGTTCCACAGGCTGTGGCATGTGGGCTGGTCTGCAGAAGTTTTTTGCCAGTCTGGAGAAAATTTTCTTCAGCATCATGATAAATTAATCAAAAGTAGCAATGAAGAAATTATAGCATCTATCAAAATTTTAGAAAGACAATGGCAGTTAAAATTATCTCATGAAAAAATTTAATACCTTCCAAAAATTCTTGCAAGGGAAACTTTTTTGAGTCTGGAAAGATTTTTATGAATTTCTGCTGGTCCTCAGAAATTTTGTTGGGAGTTTTCCGGTCCACCAAAGAGTACATCATTGATACTATTTGCTGGTCCATGAGTCCAGAAAGGTTGGGAAACACTGCAACATCACTTCATCAAACCTATAAGGATAACTAGGGCAATCTTCCAGTGGTTTGTGAATTTCAACTGCAGTAGCTTCAATGCTTGTGGTTCTTAAGCCAAGAAGAATTTTCCTTTGAAAAGTTTTGAAATGGAGTGAAATCGTTTTTCAATGTAGCTGTTTATATGATATACGCTGGGAAATATTTTTTTTGCAAAGAGACAAAATTGTTCTTTATTGCTATACCATAATGTTTCATTGCCTGTAGAATACAAATACAGTATTGTACTTCGGTAGTTGAAGAGGCGGCATACATGCAACACATACTGTATTTATGAATACAGTACAGTACTGTCTCGATAAATGCCCCAATTTTCTGAATACTGCCGGTACAGTATATGTTTGAAAGTTCATTTGACTTGGCATTGAACTTTCCCCTGAAGGCTGATGACCAACTGACAGCATCAAGTAAGAACTAAGAAGAAAGGAGAAACTCAAACCCAGTCTTATTTTGTACGCAAAATCTCATGTACAGCATATTGATCCAAATTTGCTTCATTGATGGGTTCATTATGTGGTCTCTAGTCATTAATCTTATTTACATATAATTTAATTTAATTCAGTTATTTATTGTAATTTAATCACTGCTTGTTTCAGTGCTACATACTGTACTCGCAAATATCCATCCGCACAATGCTGTAAAATGTGTTCAGTACTGTTTCAATGATCAGGGAAACAAGGTACGGAAGTCACCTGACAAAGCACGAATGGTGAAGTCACTCTATAACCTTTGTGGACCAGCTTCACAATGTAGTGAAATCTACAGTCCAATCCTGTGGAAAATTGCTTGTCGATTAACAGTGTTCCGCTTGACCGCAGTATTTGCACACTGGTGGAATTCGCATTGTGATAACTCACTTCTTGTTCTGATCATCATGGATGAACATCCAGTGCTAGCTGGAGAGACGCTGTTGCCTTAATGTGTCGTTCAGTATTGCTTGTTTTGGCTCGTCTTCGGCTACTGTAACAGTACTTGAAGGTAAAGTTGCTACATTGGTTCACGTAGGTATCGTTGTATTGGAAGTGGAGCGCAAAAAGAGTGACGCGCTGCCGGATTCCGGTGATTCCCCGCGATGAAGGATAGGCAGACCGTTGGCACCATCAACGATATGCAACATGTCGTTTATGTGCCAAATGTGGATCGATCAGCTGCCGTGAACTCGCGTGATCTTCCGGTTATAAATGTGACCCCTCAAAGTCCGAACGCTTCGGAAGAATGGAACATTCTTGGTAAGTATTTGACACTCCGAGGAGTATTGTCCGTTTAACACAAAAATGCGTCTCTCTCAGACGGAAGCATTTCACAAATCCAAGGCATCCAAGAAAGCATTCAAAAGATGCGAGAAATGCAAGCAGCTGGTGGCATGGACGTGAGTCCTTCCTCTGAATTGAAATTATCACGGTTATTCAAGTTATCACTAATAACACATAGGCTGCGTAGCCGTTTGCTTTTTACCTCCTAGCGAAGTATTCCTGTGTTACTAACTCCTCTTTCGTGTTCTTTGACCTTAGCATGGCATGAAGAACACGAGGTTTTGCTCCTCTTGCCCATCGTTGTCTTCCGCAAAGCAAATTTTCTCGCCTGATGTTTTGAGAGAGTCTAAAGGAGATGGAATTCTATCAAACAGTGGGTATTCGAATGAAAGCTTCTCGTCGCAATATTAATGAAAATATCTGTTTTCATGAGCAGTGTATATGGAAGCAATGCCCGAAAGTGTCTCGGGAGAAATCGATCAGAGGGGTGGTTGGACTGAAGATCAAGCGAAATCGAAGATTCCCGAGAGAAGGTAATCGTGAGAATTTTCATTCACCACCCGAATCGGAATGACGTGTTGTAAATTTTATTTCTTTAGTGTAAGCTTGAGTAGTGCGGAATCAGATTCCGAAGATGCATTTCTGAAAGCGGCTGGTGGACAAGGACGACTAAAGGATTACCCGGACAAACGTTCGGAAATGCCCGATTTTTCGTTGCAGTATGGCGATGTTCCGGACGGTTTTTTCCGGATGCGGGAATCCAAGGGGGGGCCGGAAGTGGTTAGTTCTTAGCGGAGTATTACTGAAACATTTGTATGTACTTTTTTTTTTTTTTTAATTAAGGTCGCTCGGAAGGCACATCGTTCTATAAGCCTGCAAAAATCTGTGTCCACCCCGTCGATTCTGGGCAATGTCGATGAAGCCACCTCCATTGCTACGAGGCAACGGCTGTGAGTTTAATTTTTAATTCCTTAGTCCTTGGTTATTTTCTCTTGGTTGACTTTTTGTTTGGTTTGATGCTGTGGCCTGGCGTAGTTCGCAGCATTTTAGTGGAAGTGATAGCGAGGAAGATGTTGGAGTGTTGTGTGGAACCCCTTCCGCTAATTATGCCGGGTATGATCGGGGTGTTATTTCGATTATTGCCACGAAAGACCCTCCTCATCTGGTTACGTACAGAGATATGCTTCGCGAGTGAGTGGATTTTTTGTTTGATTTTGTTTGTATGCCTATTTTACGCGTCATGCTTCTGCTTTCATTTCCGTTTACCAAACTCAAAGCTGTCAGGAGGACAGCACCTTCGAAAAATTCATTGCTAAAAAATTATTCTTTGGGACCAGCTCTGTGTCCTTTTTGAAACTTCACTGTTTTTCTTCATAGCTTCATGTAGGAAGTGAATCGGAACGAACATATCACGCTCAAATATTACTCTTCATACTGTAAAGGGGATAATTAACCAATGGAAAGTAACGTACAACATACCTGGAAAATCCACTACTTTACTGAAGTCCGAAAACACGCTGTATGAAATTTAGCTGTACGAGCCCTAGTACTTCGAACATATGGGGTATTACAGAAATCACCGATCCGGAATCTTCGATTATTCATCGTATTGTATGAAGAAAAATCCCTGAAATCTATCGTACGTAAGATTTCTTGAGATCCACTCTTCCAAAAGGATATCATGAGCTAGAAAACAGCAGTGAAGTTTCAAAGAGGGTTCACATTTTATCTCGTTCAGCAGTTCGCCGTTGAATGAATTTGTGTCGATTGCTTCTTCCCGTTTTCTTTCAAATGCATTTCTCTTTTACTTATAATTTTTATTGACGAAGCTGTAGTAAACTTTTCGAATTACAGTGCTTCGAGTCAAGAAGAAGACACTGCGGCTGCAGGAAAGCGACGGAAACGTAGCAGCATTTTCTTCAAAAAGAAAAAGGTTTATTCGGGCATGTGTTGGAAAATCAGATTTGGAAGAAATAACTTCTTGATTGTCAATTTGTAGCAAGATAAAGACAGATCAAGACGGGGACCAGCTGTTTCTGGACCGAGCCCAGTGTTAATAGGCTCTTCTGCATCGTTCAACTTGTCGTCAACTTCCTCTTCGGGTCAAGGTTTTGGCGCGAAATCTCTCACGTTGCCGGCTAATACGAAAAGTGGAACTCAGTTCTACCCTCAACCGATTGGAAGATACTCCATGAACTCTTCTTCCGCGTTACAACGAAAGCCGAATGGAAACTCTCCTACCGGAACGAACGCCAAAGATTTCGGGTAAGATCTGATTAGTTTCGGCATTTATTCGCTTTTTTTCTGCTGCACTTTTGTGCTTAAGCACTATCGTGAAGCTGCCTTCTGAAGCTTGGTGGAAACTGGCGGATTTTTTCCTACTTTTTTCCAAACCAGGAAATATTCAAGAAGCCTATGAACTCCGTTGAAGTGGATGCGTTCAATTCCGAATGAAAGATTTGTAAATTTGTTTTTCTTATCACGAAAAGCCGTGCGTCTTGAGGAAAAAATGTATTCGGTTAGAGTCCTGGCAGTAGGGGGAGGCGTTTGTCAATCGCCTGGGTTTGTTTTTGTCACCCAGGATGGAATCAAGGAAGAAATAGAGTTGGAAGACAGCTGATAACCCCCAAGAAATGATGTTTACTTGTCAAACTTTCATGATTTATGTAATTGAAATCATTCTGAGTTGTGGAGATCGCTTCGAAAGATTTAGTGTTGAACGCGCTATACGTATTCATGGCAGGGGTGTAACTTGAAAAAAATAAATGTTATTTGCCGCAATATAAATATCACAATTTGCATTACTGTATAAATAAATTTCTACAGTATAAATAACAGAATCTTGCTTAGACTTCTTGATTCCACGCTGGTTTGTAGGATTCTGACTCCTGTCAGAGAACTGTGATACGGACTAACCTTTATTCTGTAATCTTTTCTCGTTCTTTTATTCTCTTCACTCTCACTGTTGAGAAAAATTCCTCCGTGAAAACCGTTTCTGAGAGATTCTAAACGTAAACCTTATCAGAATCATATCTCAGCAAAATCAATGACAGTTCGCATAAATTGCTGAAAAACACTAGCAAGTTGCAATATTTATTGTTCAATATTAATCTAGCACCCATCGCCTACTTTTTTATTTTATTTATTTTTAATCTCAGTCTCAACTATTAAATTGATCCATAAAGAACCGTCCCAGGTGCCAAAAAACTCGAGGAAGTTCTTTTCAATAATGAATTTATTTGAGTACCTCATGACTTCAAGTAAGATGCGCAACTAATTTTTGAACTGGAAATAGCAATTTTATTCAAAAATTGCAGTGCATCAGATTTTAAATGTTCACTTGGATTGTATAGTCAAATTGAGTGTTAATTTTTTCGTGGTTTCAGTTTTTAAATTGTCAATGGACATTGGTTCGAAATTTAATCTTGGAATCAAATGTGACGCGCACCGAATCTTGTAAATTAAAAAATGATATTTCTGTCTTATGATGCACACCCTCTTTTATTCCTTTTAATTGAAAAAATTGTGAACGTGGTAATTAAGTACTGGAAATACATTAATCAACTAGTGTCAAAATTGGAGCAGTATCTATGGTTCAACTACTTTTATCTTCATATTTAAAAATTCGGCATCATTCGAGTTGGTATTTGCTAATTGTCATGTGGCTCTCATGTGGACTATGAGCACTTATTGTTGAAAATCTAAGGCCTCCGCTGAAAAGTTCGACTTCGAAATCTATCTTTCCTGTATACTGTATCAGCAATTTTTTGGAAAACTCTGGACTTGATCGCGAAGATTAATTCATTTCCAGTTTTTCCTGGTATCTTTTAGAAACTCGCAAATCTTCAAGGAATTGAATTTTTGAATGTCAGATTTTCTGAGCTTCAGAGAGTGGCCATAAAGCTTTACCTTTTCCACGGTCTGGGTCGCACGTTGTGGAGGGATATTTTGTAGAAAGGTTTTTTTTCATATGATTGATGGTTGGGGACTTGTTAACGATTCTGTTCTCGCGGGGATCACGAAGGTGGCGGAAAAGCAGTATCGGACGCAAGCATTGGAAGAAAGTCTCCGATAAGCTGGGCCTGTAGTAAGTAGCTTTAGCTTGCTTACAGAATGCCCTGTGTTTCCCTGACTGGAAGTATGACTTTTCTTCCAACCGGTTCTCTACTGCAGTTGCATGCACTGTATTTTAATTCTCACGTGACCATTTTATTCCTTCATGCTTGGTTGGTTGAATCTTGCCGACGACCGCTAGAAGTCGTTGTTTCCTCTCTGTGATGTACCAAACCGTAGGTAAGATTCATCTCTTCGGCGATTCGGAATCTACAAGATCGTAATTCTCTGTCAGTCCACTTGCATGAAAATTGCGTATGCACTCGATGTCTCACGTGAAACAAATGAATCGTAAACCCCCGCTGTTAGGTAGTCAGGGACACTGAGGCGTTTTGTCGAGTTTTCGAGAGAGATTTATGTCTTGTGTGTAACCGGCATATTCGGTGAAAAATTCTCGCTGAGGCACCCTGATAGGCGAAAAAGCGATAAGGAATGAACAGTTGCCGCTGTTTCGTCAAGATATATTTTAATCTCAGCATTCGTGTACTCTAGCTGTTCACTGTTGGTGAGCTCCTGGTGAATTAATGTTTTTTTCGCGTTTTCTTTGTCGTGAGCAGCAGGATGGCGAATGATAGAGAATACGGCGGTGACGACTACAGGTGAGTTACAATTATTTGTTTTGTTTTCGATTTTATTTTATTTTTGAATTTTAATTTTCAGCCCGGGGTATGGAGATAATCCAGGGGATTATTTAACCATGGATTTACGGGAAGGAAACAACGTGGAGAGTGAGATTATGCGGGATTTTCCGTCATTGAAGCTCTTGAATGAAGAACCTGAAGCCTGGTCGAAATGCGTTGATAAGAAGGTACTGCTGGCAATCCAAGCTAGGGGGAATCAGTGGAAAAATTTGTTCATCATTTTTTCAGATTTCTAAATCGATTACTGAAGTTGAAGTGAAGCGACAAGAGCACATTTACGAGTTCATGATAACTGAGAAGCATCATTGCGTCACCTTGCAGCTGATGGAGAAGGTCTGAATTCCATTTTTTTTATGAAGGTTGCTTTTTTGTCTTTCTGAAATGTTTCATCAGTACTGCGTGTTGATGTTTTCAAGCGAATTTAATTTTTTTCTGTTTCTCTTAGCTGTTTTCCGGAGACATGTCTCGCAAGTTGCAATATGGACACGAGTTCATTCGCCAAGTCTTCCCATGTTTGGAGGAATTGATAAACTGGCATTCCAATTTTCTGCGGCGATTGCGAGAGCGGCAGGAAGAAAGTTCTATCGTCCCTACAATCAGTGATATTCTCGTTGAGCAATTTTCCGGTGACTGCGGAGCTCAGCTTGAAAAGGCCTACGGAATCTTTTGTTCTCAACACAAAGACGCCGTTTCCGCTTACAAGGACCAGTTGCATCGCGATCGACGTTTTCAGGCAAGAATTTCACGCTCTTCTCGACCCTGGACGTGAATTCTCAATGTTATGGAACATTTTCGAATGATTTATTTATTTTTATTCGTAAAATGAGTTTTTTGTTTTATTCCATTCTCTCGTGAGAAACTGGCTGAGGTATGCTGAACATGCGATCGGTATTTTAGTCTGATCAAACAAGATCAGTTGTATTCTGCATAAACGAACCTAACATAAAGCAAGCCTAGCGGAATTCATTGAATTCTTGGTCTATATGACAGACGGTAAAAATCAGACTTGGAACACGGGACGGTGTAAATGGGTAAAATACAAGAGCCCAAAGTTATCTGGACAACCGTAATGTATTTCCATAAATCAACTTCTTTCATCTATGTGCAGGATTTGGTTCGTGTGTGGAGCGAGCATGTTCTGTGCAAAAAGAAAGGAATCCCGGAATGTATATTGTTCGTGACTCAGCGAATCACGAAGTACCCGCTTTTAATTGACCCCCTTATCAAAACTTCTCGAACGAATCCCGTGGAATGCGAAGCTCTGAACAACGCCATGGATTTGGTCAAAGTATGTAACCTCATCCTGTGAAGTTTTGAAATTTTTCGTTGCCTTGAAAATAAGAATCTCACGATATTTCTCTCAATGTTCAGCGAATTTTGGTGAACGTGAACGGAAAGGTTGCTGAGAAGGAAAGAGCAACGAGGCTGCTTGAGGTTTACAATAAAATCGATGCCAAATCGTCCACCACTTTGTTGAGCAAGAAGTTCAAGAAAGCCGATTTACTGCATGGGAACCGCAAGCTGAGGTTAATCGTGGTTTCACGTTTTCCGATTTTGAAAATTATATGTAAATCGGATTTTTGGTGATGATTCCACAGATTCGAAGGCGTTGCCTCAATGGTGCTTACTCCACGTGGGAAATCAGTCGAGTTGACTGTGATAGTTTTCTCGGATATCGTTATATTCCTCCAAGAAAATAATCAAAAATATTTTTTCTTCACAAACGAGAAGGTAAACGATATTTTGTATGTAATGAAGTTTTTAGGATTCTGAAACATTTGCTCACTCGCCCTTTTCAGGTCTGTGTCCTCCCTGTAAGCAAATTGCTGGTTCGAGAGAAAGCTGGAACGGGCGACAATAACGCGCTTTATTTGATTTCGAATCCTGCTGATCCTGAAATGTACGAGTTGATCTGTGTGCAGCCGAAAGATCGAAAAGTTTGGATAGAATCCATCCGGGAGGTGATTGCGAACTGCACTTCCGGTGAAGAAGAAGAATTCGATGAAGGAACCAAAATGCGTGATGCTCGTCTCGATCGCATCAAGCAAATAACAGGTAAGATATTTCTGCTCAAATTACTCGTTCGTTTCCGACAGTTTGAAATGCATCTTTCTTTTTATGAATCTTTAGTCCTGCTCCAGCAGCATGATCTGAACTTGGCGAAGCTCTGCGAGGAGAAGATAAATTTGCAGTTCGAATTACTGGAAGTTTGTGGACACGAAGATGTTCCCTCTCCGCCATCGTTTCAGAAGTGTCCCACTGACTTGGACATATTTGCTTTGCGTGACCGTTTGCGTCAAACAGTTCAGGTTCGTCCTCGGGCGAATAATATCATGTTTCCGTTTTCATAAAACGATGTTCCGTGCAATACTGTAGGAAGCGAGCAAGATAGCGTCAAATCTGTGCACAAACGGAGCCACCAATTTGTCTCGCAGTGCGAGTTCCGTTGGTGAGCATTATTCCAATGCGTATGTCTCGCCGATTTTGCCCAGGAGGGCAGAAACGTTTGGAGGATTTGACAACTCTGTCAAGGACCCAACAGGTACACATTTATTTGCTTATCTACTCTTTCGTTTACCAATAATTTTAATCCCTGTGCTGTAGTCCTTAAAAATGTACTATCCAAAGGAAAATATGAAATTTTTATTGTCCAGTATTTCGTACCTGGGTAAAAATGAAGCAGTGCATAAATTGTTGAGAAAAGTTGACTGAAACTTTAAAAAATGACTGAAAACGTCTTATAGAAATTTTAATCAAAATGCTTGATTCCTTAGCCCGATTTTTTTGCTTGTCCCTTGAAGTTGAACGACAAGAGGTTCGACTGTACCATATTGCGAAGTCTTGAAGGGGTGATACAGTAATTTCGCTTCTATTGAAATCGGTATTTTAAAGTATTTTACCAATGAACTTTTTGCTATTTCTGTGTGTTTTTTAGGAGTTAACCGGAAGAAAGCGTCGCCGGTACCGCCGGAATTAATAGAGGTGAGTGAAGCGTCGTCGCCCATGAGCGAACGCCAGCCGTCTCTCTACGTGCGCGCGTTCGCGCCGCACCTGAGCATCATTGGTCGCACGCGCAGTCAGGGCCGAATCGACGTCGGTCCGTCCGCGACGACCCTGTCGCAGGGTTCCCTTACGCGTCCTTCGTCACCTCTGCCCAAGGTGGCCCTGGCTCTTGGGCTGGCCCTGGGTGGGCCATCCCCGGCGTCCTCGCCGGCCATTTCGCCGATGCGTAGTCCCGGCGGCGGGCTGTGTTGGAACTGCCATCGGGTGTTGTCACGATCGCCTTCGAACCTGGCCCTGCAACAACTGTCCCCCGTGGCCCGGTCACCGGAACCGTCTTTGTCGCCGAGGAGGGCCAGCTCGCCGGTGCCCGGGTTGCGTCGAACGCTTATGTCGTTTCTGGTGGTGGGTCTTCTGGGTTCTGCGTGGAACGGATGTATTTTTTCATCTGTTTCATCTCCGTATATTTGTTTCGAGTTCTTCTTCGAAGGCAGTACATCCGAGCATGGTTGTTCTATTCCTGGAAAATGTGAGATTCTGCTTTTGGTTTGTGACCGGCTGCGACCAGACAAGAGGTTCATCTAGTAGCACAGGAAACTGGCAAGATTTCTTTAAAAATTCATTTTAGTCCAAAAATGGGCAAACAACCATATTTCTTCTAATACTGACTGTTCTAGGGATAAAGCAATATTTTGTTTGTTTTGTTTGAATAGCCTATCTTCCTCTGAAAAGTAAACGAAGACAATTTCCATAACTTCCCGAAATTTGGTTTTTGTGAGTGATAACAAAAATCATTACGACGGCAAAGCTTAGGTTCATTATTAATTTCGGCGAACGTTTTGATCAACAAGTTAGAATTGCAGTATACAGTACCAGTCTAGCCAAGTTACGTTCTACCTCCCTTGAAACCGAGCGCAAGCACCCGGACTTGTTCTTCAAGTAGTGGGATTTTCTAAAAAAAACTATTCGGAATTTAATTTTTAAAAGTCAGAGAAACTTCACAAGTTCACCCCTCGTTCAATTCTGTCGGTCGATACTCTTTTTGTTCTTCCTTGGAGGTTTAAGTTTCTCGGCATGTTCGGTAGGCACGAGATCTGGAAGCGTGAAAATTCTGCGATTAAGTCCGGAGTTATTCTTTCTCCGAAGGATCTTCTTTTTGGTGCGGTTTGTTTTCTCAAGTCGGGTTGCCGGCTGAAGATCCCTGGAATTTCAGTTTTTGCTTCTTGCGATTCTGAACTTCGCTTGAGAACCCATTTTAAGTTCTCGCATGTTGCTGTTGTTCGGCCGATGGTGTGGTAGGAAGTGCTGTGTCGATTGACTATCGCGATCGTGTAGTGATTTGGTTGAAATTCTAGTTGTCTTTTAATTTTCGTGTGAATTTTCAAGATTATCTATTTTATTTTTCCTTGACGATTCCTTAGGATCGTCCGCGAAGAACGACGCTGCCTGCCGTCCAACCTGGAGAATCTCTCCTGAATCTCCCTGGAAGTCAGTATCCCGTGGGTTGGGGAGGAACTTCTAGTCCCAGTTCGCATATGCCCACTGCGCTTGGACTGCCGATCAGTTCGATTGTCCCGGGGTCCAAGGAGCAGCAAATGGCAGTGGCCCAATTGAGTGGCTACTTGTCCACCATTTGGTACCTGGTGGAACATCAGTGCACTAACCTGGAAAGGTATGTGTCGTTGTTTCGACATTTTATTGATCAATGCTTAGGAACATTTGTCATCTTTTTTCAAATCATGGAACAAAATTTTCTCAATATCGGAGTTCTGAGCGTGTATTCTTAACTCTTCAGAAACTCCGTGCCACTTCAAAGATTAAAAAAAAAACTGTATGATTTGAAAGAATTACAACAGGAAAATGAAAGGATTGTGAATGCTAAGAAATCGGATCATGATCTTGATAAATTTCGAAGTTCAGTGAAATTTGGGATTCAAGTTGAGGGAATAATCTTGTCCTTCAGCATGAAAGCAGAGTTGACGACAGCGTATGACAAGATTACAAGACTGACAGGGGAAGATCCAAGAGGATCGAATTCAAGTGCAGGTGGGAAAGGGAATAAAGGTTTGTTGTCGCACAACCAGCGTTTGGAGGAGCTGAGAAATTTGCAAGATCGTTTCTCACGAGAAAGAGAGGCGTGGGAGAAGGATAGGAAGATGAAGGAGGAAGAACTGAATTCGAAGGAGAAAGAGTTGAAGGAAGTTCAGGTTAGACAATCGAATAAACTTTGATATGTAGAATGGCACTGTTTTCATGCGGATTTGTATTTTTCGTCGCAGGAACGACTAAAGAAGGACAAGGAAGACGTTGTTCATCAGCGTGACCAGTTGTACACTAAAGTTCAGACATTGAAGAACCAGGGGATAATTTTGGACACCAACTTTCATATCGTTTCGATGAATCTCTCTGACGACAACAGCCCGATGCGTCCTAATTGCTCCGTCATTGAAATCAATAAGGGTTCCAGCGGGCAAAGTTCGACTGTTTCCAGTCCTCAGCCACAGTCGCCACCGTTGTCGGCGTCCGCAAGTGCTGCGGATTTCCGGAAGAAGTTGGCAGAAACGCAGCGATCAAAGAGCGTGACTTCCGTGAGCTCTGCTAAAGCCGCGCAGGCAGCGTTGGTACATCAGCAGCTTCCACAGCATTTGATCAGTGCAACGAATCAGCAAAAGGTGTCTCAGAAGGCGCAAAACGTTCAAATTAAGCAGCAGTTGCCGTTGAAGTTGGCCAAATTGGCGGAGAAGACCAGTGGGGGTAGCGAAAGATCCAGTCCTGGGTCGAGTCCGTCTGGTTCGCTTCAGTCTCCTTTGAACATGTCACAGGTGCGCGTTTCTCGCAAAACATTTCAAGATTTTGTTGTTGTTTGAAATACCGGACCTGTAATTAAACGGCTTCGGGCCGCACCCTGATTTTGGGCAGGAATTGAAGGCGAAAGTGTAAGCATGAATAGATCCAAAAATCCGATTCTTTCGACCAAGAAAAACAAAACAAAAAAAATGCAGCATGAGCAATTTTTTCTGACGAATCAACGCCCAAAATCCTCAAAAAATGTTAAAAATTTGAAGTTTGGATAAAAAAAATGTAATGTTCAGCAGCAGAATCTAATGATTTTCTAGCATAACTTTTCTATTTATTGTTTAATCTCTTAAATATGCCGCAAATATTTGCTGAGACTGTTGCTTCCTACCTAAGGGAAAAATCTCAATCATACCCTGCATCCGAGTTTCTGGGCACATTTTAGGGTAAAAGTGGGTATCTTGAGAATATTGTATGGTTTACTTTTGTTCTAGGAGCATGAAAAAGTTCACCAGATTTTGCCCATGAAGCTGAGTGAAGATAAAAGTGGGAAAGCCTCGTTTGGGTATCAGAAATTTGGTGCCACAACTCCTAGTGTACCTCCAAGGACGGGGATTCCCCAAACTTTCCACTCCAGGTCTGGCAGCAGTCCTGCTGATATTCCACCAGAGCAAATACAGGCAGCTGGGCGACAATCTAACGTTGATCAGCCTGTTGCGTCAGGGTGAGTTCTAGGTCGAACTAAGCTTTTATTTCTCTCCAGTTGATGCAAAAAAATGTATACGTACGTCGAGAAGTTTTTTATTTTTATTCTAAACCTTGTAACACTTTTGGAACTTCGATGATTCGTTTGAAATCGATTCCTGCACAATTTGAAGTGTCAAATAATTAAACTTCGTCCAGGAATACGAGATTTTTTCTGAAATGTCGGACGGTAACTATGCGAAACGGGCCGCATACTGATTTTGGGCGGTAATGAAAGGAAAAATTGTAAGCTTTGCCGAAAGAAATTCAAGAGGACGAAAGTGGCCCGTACGATTTTTTCCTCGTGATTTGTCATAGTATATTTGGTCAGTTGTTAATAGGATAAGGGCGGAGGCCTAATTTTTTTCAGCTGAAGTGTTTAACCTCAAAACATTATCGTAATTCAGTGCCCCCCTCCCGGACAGTCGCATAAATCGATCTTGAAATGCAATGCTTTCGAAAAAAAAGCAGCATAGACAATTTTTTCCATGTCAAATCAACACCCAAAAACCCTCGAAAAAGTTGGATAAAAAATTTTTTTCATGACAGCGACAGGATCTAACCCAACTTAAATTTATTTATCGTATAATCTCTGATATAAACCGTACATAGTGCACTTGTTCGAGGCACATTTTGAAGAGGCTGTTGAACCGATGCAGAGACTGCGTCCACTTCATCGGATGAGTATTGATTTTTTTATGTGATGTAGGTTGTACAAGTCGAATTCTTCGGGAAGTCGATATGCCTCGCGTCCTTTTGCGCCTGCTCGTCACCCTCAGCAAGAGCAATACCTGCAACAACCGCAACCTCTGCTACAACACCAACAGCAACGATTGACCGTAACTCGGTCTGATCCTCGACAGGAAAACAGCCCTCGTCCTACTGTAGATCCCGACACCAACGAAGAAATCATATACTTTTAGGTATGTGAAACGAGGTCAAATTTCCGCAATATATCCGTGGAATGAATGCGGTGAATGACTGTTTCGGAAATCACTACCGGGTTCTCTCCTTTTACGACCACCGACAAGGAATTAAGTTTTCGTCTCGAGGGTTGATTGATCCGTTGTAAGTGGATTTCAGGGTTTAAGACACCCACAGATGGCAGCTATTATTCGAGGTTTTGTGATCCATGGGCCGCGAGATTCCAGTGTTAGCAAAAAAAAAAGGAACGCAATTCCGTTTTTATTTCCTCATTGACGTGGATTTTTTAAGGCTCTGTTCATTCTCGATCCACTGTGATATGATGACTATCATGAAAAGCCACCGTCTTGGCAATCGCTGTTCGCTATGCTTAGCCTATTCCTCCCACCGCAGATTTGTATCGTGTTGCAATTTTTTGGCGATTCCGTCCGGAAAATGTGTGTTTGGTGGCTACGAGAAAATGCTTGGTGAGCATTTTATGCTTCCACTAATATTGGAACCAAAATGTTGTTAGGAGGATTTATTATTCGTCTTTCTGTAAATGAATCACGGAGAACGCGTTGATGTGGCCCGGATTCGTGTTTTCCTCGTCATATTGGATGTTGTCACCCCTGGCAGAATAAAGGAATATTGATTTAAAATTCTTGTGGCTATTGTCAATCCATTTCCAGTTTTTTTACGCATTGATTCAAACCGTTTTTATTTCGCAGACGATTTTTCGACAGCGTACAATTGTGATCATACTCTCTTAACGTGTGATTGTTAGTTGGTGTTACAGTGAATTTATTTTGCCATCTTTTTGTTTGGAAGTTGAATTTTACCTGCCTTTTATAAGTTTTATTTCATTTTGACGGTGTTTACGGGAAGTTCGATTGAAATTTTATTTCCAATGATACATTTTTGACACACATTTGGTTGTCCAAGAGGGTTCTTCCACATCTATCCAATCCAATTCAGCTGAAGGTGCTCATTTCAAAATGCTGCGATTCACTGCGGAAACTTTCGAATTTTGGCAAGTTCTTCATTCAAGATTGATCGATGTTCTGTTCGAAGCAGTAGAGTTATACGAAAAGAAAGTTATAAGAGGCTCTTCGTTTACGTCAGAAGGAAAAAACCCGTCAAAAACTAGTACAGACTGTAACTTTACTCCGAGTTAAGACCCTAAAAAAAACCAGATTGTTGTACTGTACATGTTTCGAAGTGATGTACTGGGTTTAGCGTGGAATAACTTGTCCATGTTGACGGATTCGCGTGGATGCGTGAAATTGATCAAGCCTTCGAGAAGGATTAAATTGAGCATAATATGAACATGATGGCAGATAAGCGTTTGCAGAACCGCCTTTTTTATCATGTAATGTATTGTTGATGAAAGTCAAGATGGAATGTTTTCTACGTTTCTTACAGCCTGGTGCGGAGTTGCTCTTCTCATTTAATGTCCACCGCACGATCATTTGCCTATTATCTCTGCAAGTTGATGTTAGGATTCTAATTTTCATTTCCTTAGGTCATGGAAATTATTGTGTTTCATCAGTTCTAAATCTCACATTTCTCAATATTGAAGAGCTTTGATTAATTTTTAAGGAACAGGAGAACCAATTCGAACATGTTCCCATTGAAGTAACGTTGAACCTTGATCAGACATACCTCGCCGAGTCAAATTTTTTTTCTAGTCCGCATCTGAATTCCCCTAAAAATAATGTATTAAAAACCTCCCTAACTCAGTCTTTTGCTCTCAAACCTCTTTGAGTCAAATTTTCTGCAGCCCTTGGCTATTATTTTCTTGATATACCAAAAAGAAAAGCAATAAAACAAAGGACTTAATGTGATTTTTTTTATTGATAGACTAATTGGACAAATGAACCCTTGCCTACAAGTTCAGCATGCTGTAAACTCATTAAAGAAGGAATTTCCAATGCCCAGAATATCACCATTCATAGTTTCCTGCAATTCTGTCATGCTGGTTTCCCTCACTAGAAACCTCTCTAAGTCAATTTTTTTATGATCCCTTGAATTTTGATTTGAAGAGGTTCAACTGATGTATGCAGGAGATCATGATCTGACATAGGGACAATAAGGTCCAAACACAAATTAGGTTGGCATCTTCAGGCTGCACTGTCTTTTACCATGAAAATGTTCATGCATTTGAGAAAACATAAAAGCTATACAGAGCATAGGTTCATTGTTGTTGATCATCTCTTCTGCTTGCAATACATTTTACCAACTTTCCTCATTTATCACCACCTGACTTGCAATTAAAACTGCTGATCAGGGTAGAAAGCAAAGAACTTGAATTTAATATTATTTTATTGAATAGTCGAAACTTGGCACTCCATGACATGCATGGATTTTTCCCATCCATTGTACAGTATGTGCATTCTGTGGGGAGTCATGGGAATCATTTGGTGATCTGTTAATTACATAATTTAAGCCTGTTTTGAGTTTGAGATCAACGACTAAAACGGTGTTGCCTGTAGGAAAGTGATTCTTGCATCATCTTTTTGTGGCATAAATTGCGCAATTGTGTGTAGGTTACTGTGCCTTGAAGGATGCTTCCAGGATTTGTAACAGTAACCCATAACTGTTATCAGAAAAATGAAGCTTTGCCTTCCCATTGTTCTCTTTAATCTCCTGTAATCTTTGAGAAGTGTAAAGTTGATTAATACAAAGAAAGTATAAAAACCTGAGAACAGCGCTTGGAGAGCGTTTTTGCATTCAGTGTCATGAGGAAAGTTGAGAGGCCTTGCTCATGCCAATTTTTGTCAACTCGCTCAATGCAGGCGTGGGGCGTGTAATTTCATTCTGCTCTGGGCAGCTGTTCAAGACGAATGTGATCGACATGTGTCAAATTCTCTTACGGGATGCTATACTTCTGAGGGTGCGGGGTTCTCAGTGAGGTTTAATGTATCACGTAATTTGTTGAAGGAAAAATTGTGGACGTTAGTGTGACCTCATAATGGAAGTAGACGTGAACGACGATATAGGAATCGCGAGATTCGTCGAACTCTTCGAGAGACCTGACCTACTTCCTCAACTTCTGCAAGAACAAGAAGCTACGCATGGCCTGAAAGATCCGTATTTGGCGCGGTTATGGAGTTATTTTGCGCCTGCTTTAGTTGAAACCGTTTCAAACACTGGATACTTCAATAAAGCCTTCGAAGTTGCAAATGTGGCGACGCACGTTCATGAGCCTCTGGAGAACTTCATGTTTTGTGGAAGGGATTACAGTCAAATGCTAGAGGTGAGTTACGAAAAATTGTGATGTTTCAAATGCTCAAAAGGGTGGGTTGGATTTCAGTTGTTGACTTCGCTTGACGATGTTCCGTCTAACCTTTGTGGAAGAGTGTTCAAATCGGGCGAACCGACGTACTCTTGCCGTGATTGTTGGATGGATCGAACATGCGTGCTTTGCATCAATTGTTTCCAACACTCGGAGCATCGGAACCATCGCTACAAGATGTGCTCATCCGAAGGCGGTGGGTTTTGCGATTGCGGTGACCCTGAAGCATGGAAATCCAATCCGAGTTGCTCCGTGCATGCATCCACGGATGACAAGCAGCGCGATGGAAGTGAAATCCTTGCGCGGCTGCCCGATAAAATCCATTCCAGGGTTGACCGTGTTATGCGTTCGTGTCTTGACTATTGCGTGAATGTGTTGACGAAGTCGCCGTTGCCGCGAAATCTCGAACTGTCACCGGATGACCAGAAAATGACGGATCCTTTTTGCTTCGCGGAATTATCCGAGAAATACGCGACGATAGTTTACAACGATGAGACACACTCTTACAACTCCGTGACGTACACGTTCGTCCGAGCTATTGATGTGTCTGCCAAAGTCGCTACGGAGTACGCGACATTGGTTGATCAGGAGGGACGCGGCGTTGTATACATCGATAACTTCAAAGTTAGTCAACCTGGTGAACTAAACCTCAATTTATTTTAAATCTTGATCAAACTCATTAACAGGAATGCAATGCTGTCAAGGCGAAGATTCAGCAAATTTCGAATAACGATCCGTTGAGAACGGGTGTTGTGCCGTGTCTTCCGTTAGCCCACGAAGTCTTCGCTTTACGGATGCTTATCTGGATGCAGCGACTTGCGAAGATGTCGAACGGATTCAGGAAAATCTTCGCTGACATCTTGTGCACTAAAATTGTGAGTCTTTTTGTACATTATTCTGTAATAGGCTTTCAAGAAAAAAGCTGAAACATTTGCAGAAAATACTCTGGATAAATGACTCCATGACCGATTCTTTATTGGAATGCAATTTGCAACTGTTCGATTGTTTTGTGTTTCGTGTATGCCCTCACTGTGGAAGCGAATTTATGCGAACAATTCACGCTCTGCGAGTTGCTTTGTGGAAACCGTTATGATTAAGCTATTGATCGTATGTCGAAATAAGCTACAATATAAATCGTGCAAGTCTTCGCGAAGTCAGTCGGAACCAGCGAATTGAAAGCATAAGTAAAAAATACACCCAGCAAAGATAACTTGCTCACTATGCACGTCGAATTTATCGTGCGAAATGTTTGTTTCAATGCGCTTCCTAAGTGATGCTTTGCCGAAGAAAACAAAGTATGATTACAACAATATACCAGAATTTTATCTTGAAGTACTGTAGTATTGACCATCGCCTGTTCATTTTTAATTTTCTAGTATCTCCCTTTATCGGGTGGTTTTTGCATGGGCTATTTTTCCTGTCATCCAGAACATACATGGTAAATATTGGATTTTTTCTAAATGCAGAGTGAAGAGGATTCGGAATTGATCGTCGAACGAATAATTCGTTACGATGCCAAGCTGTGGAAAGCCGCCCGATCCGCGTGGCACAACCTGATCATTTCAACCATGCTGATGAATTTCGAGAGGAAACGACAGTTCGCCGTTCTTTTCGCAAACAATTATTGTTCCCTGCTTGACGATCATGTTGATGACGATCAAGTTTCTCATGCAAGCATCGTGTCCATGAGTGTTCAGTTATTTACTGTTCCCTCAGTGGCGCATTATTTGATCGAGGAGTACAACATACTTGCGAGATTGTTGTTGGCGTACACGTCGAGTATGGATTCACCTGGCGTTCCTGCAACAAATTCGAATCAAATTATGGCCCGGAGCAAGAGAGCTAGAGTAGTCTTCATGGATTTGAGCTATTTGCTTGGTTGTCCTCCGGTCGAGTGGACGCATAAGTTGCGCATCGGATTCCTCAGCGGATATGGAAAACTTGCTGGACTTCTGGATGTGCTTTCCGTAAGTTCCTTGCTTTTTCTTTGAATGTCAGGCGATATCGATAGTAAAACACCCCGCAATTTTTGGAGCCTCGAAATAAATCGAACGCAAGATCCCTTTTCAACTTCTTACACTGAAATATTTTTTTGAGACGTTTCTATTAGAAACTGATGTGAAGCCACGTCTTCGTCATCAGGCCGTCTGTTTCTGCGCTATTATTATTTTTTTATACCGTACTTTTCTCTTGGATCCAAGGCTTATAGCGAAAAGGGAGAGAACGAGGCAGAAGTGCAAGAATTTCACGTAGGATTGTTTTAGACTGCCCTTCTGTTTCAAAATATCGTATACGCTTCTTTCCTGATGTCTACAGTGTTTCGAAATGCAGTATTCCCGTATTCACTAGTGATACGAGTAGGCGTTCTTGTAATTGCAGTTAGGACACTGTTTTATTCACAAGTTCGTGTTCGTTTAAAAGTTACATTGATCTCCGATGAATGGGCTTGATCTACGTTTCAGTAGTTGAAAATTTAATCACCGAGAAATTTTGTGTATAATAGGACTACCGTAATTGAGTCCAAACCCGAAAAAAATCCTTGGAATGTGAAAAAAGTAATCCTCTCCAGATCTTTCTGACAAGCCCTTGTATAAATGAAAAAAAAAAAACTTTTTCTTTTGCATAAAATCCAATTTCCTAGAAGGACTACGAAAAACACTTCCAACCAGGTGAACACTGTTCAACGCAATTGAAAGCACTTGCATTCTCCTAAATTCTGCTTGCAGCCCCTATCTTTTCCGTAACTTCGTATTTTTTTATGAAAAAATTCTTCATCCATTCCCCAATATCCAGTCCCCCATATTTTCCCCTACAAAATGCGGTGGTAGTCAGATATCATTGTGCAAAGAAGACTTTTTGCGAGGTACTGTATCAATTATCTGTTTTTATTCTAGTACCATATTTCTTCAACTGAAAATAAATTGTAATGCACACCTTGGTCTTCGAATGATAATTTATATTTAATTTTTACAGGAAGCCTTATATTCGAGTAAATCCACGTTTCCCTTTTGTTTCGCTTTTTTTCAATTTCTCCTCTTTCAATTATCAATGATATCGTGTTTTTTTCCTGTTCATTAATTTGCACTGGTTTATATTTTCTTTTCAGGGAAGTCACAGTGTGGTCCGGCAAATGCACAATCACGTGGAATATGAGAGCGACTGGGAGCCTGCCATGCGATTGCAACTGAAGATTACACCTGTGATCACGGCGATGCTCAAGTGGTGCAGCACTGATCCTGTGGTTTTCGTTAAGGCCTTCAGGTACATTCCTTATTTCCGATTTGGAAATGAAAAGTAAATTAAATGAGCTCATCAAAGTTCATCGTGCATTTTATTTGCCAGGATATTGAATGTTGTACTTGGAAATCGCATTCAGCTTATATGATTCAGTATAAAATCAACTGATAAAATAGATTTGCATTGAAAATCCAGCATGTATTGAATTTCGCATTGGTGATCATTCAATCGCCGCAAAACAAGTAATGTACTTGATAGTCTGTAGTTCGCTTTTTTTTCCCCTGTGCTGTTCAAGTACACCATCTACCGCTAAATTATGAAACTACTCCACGAAAATTGAGTGGATGTTCCTGCTGATGTATTATACAATATACCGTATTATTCGTGTTTGTCTCTCTCGTGTATAAATTTATATGCTGTAGTTATGAAATAAAAATACAGATTTGCCGGGATGAAGAAGAAAAATTGTTCGATTGGGCGCCAAAGATATGTTTGGATGGTGTCAAGATCCTAGACCCTCCAGGTCCGACCTTTTGACAAAGTTGAATAATTAAGGATATTCGTTCAGAGCCTTCCATAATGTTCACGAGGTTTTCAGGTTTATAAGCGTGTGAACCGCTCCTCGAATTAGCGCCAAAATCCTTCCGTTCTTGTGATAATGTGTGACTTAACCTTTTTTTGTTTTCAGAGCGACTGTGGACAAACGTAGAATGGCCAGAGTAGCGGAGGAAAAGGCCGAACGAAAAGTCGGCGGTCGTTCCGCCGTCGTCAACACCTACGACATCACGACACAAAGTGCATCTCTTCATCATCCGATACCCCGACTCCTTGCTGGCCTACTGCAACTCCTCCCAAAATTTAATTTGACTTGGACGTCGCCGGAATTGGGCGGTGAACGATTGGAGCTTGAAGACTACATCGAGCATCCTTTGCGAGTCAAGTTGCTGCAGGCGCAGGTCAATGCCGGCATGTGGCGGCGGAATGGATTATCGTTGATGAAACAGTTGATGTATTACTCTGCTGTGCGGTGCAGAGAAGAAATGCACGATAGGGATGTGTTTATGGTGCAATTTGCAGCGGCGAACATGGAACCAAACACGTTTTTGGTCACTTTATTGGCCAAGTACAAGCTGGATCAATGGGCGAATTCTTCAAGCTTCAGCGTTGTGCCAACGGTTGGTAGCTCCTGTTGATATGCGTACTAGATTTATTTATGATCATGTGCGGAAGCTGCATCTTCCTTTAAATGTACAGTCAAACCCCGTTAAGACGCCCCACGATGAGCCGCCATCTTTGGCAATCGCCAATTTATTGTATTTTGAAAAACAAATCTTTCCTAATGATGATATCATCGGAAACCCCGTTAAAACGCCAAAATTCTCCTCCAAAATTATTGACAACTCAAATTACTCCTGCTAATTCATTTTGTCTTCCATAGGCCGCCAACCAGTTGACAAAATTCAAATTTCTAGGAGAGGTCCCCAATTGAAAAAATTAAGAGCCCAAAGAGGACATAATTTACTTTTCGGGAGCATTATTAGCTGGATAGAATTTATGCATTCCCGGGTTATTTTGTTTGTTTCTAAAAGAAAGCGAATTTTATCGTATTTCCTATCATAGTACAATACTGTACTGTATACTGTACTGGATTTTCATTTTATTTTACATTTTTTGATGAACCATCAACCCCCTTTAAACCGCCATAAACCTCACAAACAAATGATTGCGGCTTGTTGAGGTTTTGGAAGTTTTGTTGTTGTTCGTATTTCGTCCCTGTTGAAACGTTGATCTAACCTTGCATAAAAATAATTTGAAATATTTTCTCTTGAAACCTGTTGCGTTTTTAATCTTGATCCTGACCTATTCCCAGAATACGATTAAGTCTTCTGGGTTTGCATGTTGCCCACGCCTGATTATAATTTCTTTTTTTTTGCAGGCCGATGATGAACGAGTGCATCAAAACAATGCCATCATTGAAGAGTTCCTGGCTTTCCTCATTACGATTGTCGCTGAAAGACACACGGAAACGATTGGCCGACTGAAACCCGGTGATTGCGCCAGGAAGGAGATCTTGCAGCTTCTGTGCATGGGCAACGTTACGCATTCGATTTTGATGAAGTTGTTACCTGAGGAGATTTCCCAAGATCCCGAGTTTGAAGACCGTGTACGCGAAGTAGCCGAGTTTAAACCGTCGGCGACTATCATGCAAAAAGGAACCTACGCTTTGAAAGATGGTGTGTTTCATTTCTGCGAAAAGAAATTTTCATTCACAATGTACAGTTGACTATAGTATGGCCTTCTTGTTATGACAGAGTGTTGGGAAGAGTTCAATCTCTTCTTTCATCACTACATCAGAGAAGACCAATCTAAAGCTGAAGCAAACTTCCGACGCGTTGCGAAGCTCCGTGGAACGGATGAGTTTTGTCATCCCCCTCCGTTGATACCCTTAACTGAAAGTGAGTTATCTTTCTCGAAAAATGTGTTATGTTTGACTTCAACTTTTATTTTTGTTCCAGATTTCAAAGGCTTGGCGAATTTGCTGCAGTGTGACGTAATGATCATGATTCTTCGAGGCTTGTTTGAAAGGACTCTGGATTTGAAGTGTTACATGTTTACCGAAACGCAGCTGCAGAGGGTAATTTTCTCTCAGATTCAGCTTCTCATTTTATAGTTGATGAGGCTGTTTTTTTTCGTGTGTGTCTTGGATGTTGTAGGCTCTGTTTCTGTTCGGGTTTGCGTTACGCCAGGAAGAACTGGCAATGCAGTTTCCTGATGACACATACCAGTTCTGCTCGAAAGCAAGGAAATCTGGTTTGTACGATGCGTTTTCTGCGTTGAAAGACAACGAGAGGCTGGGATCGCATCGTGCTCTGTACAATTGGATTTACTCGAAGTTCAATGAGGTAAATATGCTTGTGCCAAAGCAGCCGAGTGTGTGGCCAAAAAAAACGAAACAAACAAACCATTGTGAAATATATAACACCGAGCCTACAGTTGCGAAAAAAGCAACTGCACTGTATTAACGCATTAAGGAAAATTTTAAAGAGGACTAAATTAGCCGATTTAAATTGCATGAAGTACAGAGAAAATCTTGCAAATGTTGATGATTGCTTTTTTGTTCAACTGTTTTTGATGTGTGCTTTTTAGGACGCACAGTTTTGGTGCAAACTCGACTGTTGAATCACGATCGATTATCATCTTTAATCGTGAATATCGTTATTCGATTCTTGCACCGCAAGCTTGAGAAAGCATAACTTAGTACAGTTAGTATGCACAGACTTCGATAAATACTGTACGTGGTAAACGTAACGTGAATTTTGATCATTTTACAGTATTTATCAAGGTAATGAACCTCATATGAAATCTTTTGACGATGAAAAACCGAGCCGATTTTGAATTCATGTTCATCTTTTATTGAGAAACCGTCTTGCACTAATTCTGTTTCGAGCACGGGCCTCTTTTAGACATGTTCAACTGTCCAATCACAATTTTGACAGTTTTTCGAGTTTCAGCTGAATTTTGATACTGTACATAAGGGATAAACGCCAATCGTGTGTGCAGGTTGAATTGATGCGAACGAAATCGGTCAGTGCGACTGCGGAGGCTACCTTTAGCATGGAAAAAGACAAGGAATCTGCGAAAGTGAGGAAAACAAATTTTCGATATTCGCGCTCAGCTTCGCCATGTATTTATTCTGTACAGGCGCAAAAACGATTGCGGAAAGAACGGGCTGATCTGATGAAATCGAAAATCCTGGCGCAGATGCAGGCGAAGCAGAAGCGGTTCATAACGGAAAACCAAAATTTCTACGAGTCATGTGGACCCAGTGAGACTTGTTCGTTGAAGCTATTTCATCTTCACCTTTTATCGTGCGTTGAATTTTTTAAAGGTGCTGGAGAGTCGATTGAAGAGCCCGAAGGGCAAGTTTTCTTGGCAAATTCGCAGCAAATTGCGTTCGGACCTCACCAAACTCCTCCCGTAACACACACGAAAAGGTAGGACTTCGAGTTCCGTGATCGGTTTATCTTTATTTTATTTTTATAAGAATTTTAACTTGTCTAGTGTCTTCACATTTTAACATTATACCGTAATTTTGTTTCGAGAGTATGAAGCCTTTTTTTGGAGGAAATAGAAACCACAGAAGGATAACTTTTGATAAAAAACTTCTCATGAATATGTTCGGTAGCTTTAGCTCAAACCTGTGCGGAAAACTAAGAAATGCACCCATTAACTGAAGTAATCGCCAGAACTACCGGGAACTTTTGTGAACTCTAATTTTACGGGTAGATGAACGTTAATTCCACTAGAATTGAGATAAAAAGCCCGACGGTCGCTTCCAGTTGTATTGACGATCAAATGTTAGCTTTTTATGTTCTAAGTATTTTGTCTTAATTTTCTGAAACCGTGAGGTACTATTACCTCAGAAAACAGTTGGAAGAATTTTCGTACATGAATCAAGCTTAGCTGCGTTTTTTTTTTTCTGAAGAAAAGGAAGGTTTTGAGGTCGTCCACCTTGTGTTTTGTGAACCTAATGTTAATATTTCTTCGTGTCAACAGTTTTTTTTTTTGTGTTTGTTCGTTTGATGACTTCGTGATGAATGCTGGAAAGCCACGCGAAATTGTGTCGCTAAGCGACGTGATAGGTTGAATGTACTCGCGGTGGTCATGTACGAATAATCTTTGATGTCATGTTTTTTTTCCTGGTCTGCAGTTACAAATGCATTTTGTGCCAAGAGACAGAAGTTCTGGACCCGAAGAATGACATGATGGTGTTGTGTGCGTTCGTGCAGCAGTCGACGGTGTTGTCGAAAGCGGATCGCTCTCTGGAGTCGAATATTTCCGACCCGGACTATTCGTTGCGCATTTTCGAGCCGGCCTTGTTGACGGCGAGGCTGGAAATCGGCTCGCACATTTCGTCGTGCGGACACGTCTTGCACGCCTCTTGTTGGCGGAAAAACGTGGACGAATCTTCGCGACGAGAGCGACGACGTGCAAGGTTTCACTCATTTCTGATTTCTTTTTGTTCCTTGAGGGGGCCTTCTCGAGTAGGTTTTTCGAATCACTTTAACTCTTTCTGGTCTTCGTTGTACCGGAATGTAGAATTTAACGTAGATTTCTAGATGATGAATCATTCGAAGGTTTGGGGTAAAACGTTATTTCTGTTGTAATTAAAATTAAAGTTCAATTTCATTCCAGTCATTCTTGTTTTCTGTAATCATATGGCCGGCATAAAATTGGATATAATTAGTCAATTTTTCATCAGTTTGATTTTTTATTGGCAGATTTTTTTGCGGTACTGTATATTCAAAAAATGCGTTTCTCTCTTTCCTGCCGAATTTGATGATCAAACTTGTCTGGAATGGAAATTTTTAGTTCTCTCATTTTGAGTTTTGTCAACAATAATAAGCGGGAAAATGAAAAAAAAAACACGATATACTGTATTAGAATGCCCTTGATTTGAGATTTCTGTGAGACGGAATTAAAATCTTTTAGCAGCCCTGGTATGTGATTTTTTTCAGTTCGAATTCAATCTTCTCGCAACTTCGGTAAATTTTACCAGCAGCAGATGTTCACGAATTGCGAATAGCCGTAGTAGTCATGATATGGTCGGAACAAAATTTGAAGGCAGTATGTCAGAATTTTATTTATTTGCCTTCTTCTTTTATAGTTTTTTTACGGAGAAAAAAAGCAACAAATACAACATTCTACTTGATCTTTCCGATGGGTTAATAGTATAGGTATCTTAAATCTTTTCCGACTGTGTTTGATCACTTTGTAAAAAGATTAATTTTTTTATGTAGCTCATTTTTGTGATGATGTAACACCAGGTTTAACCTGCTAAAGATAAATGGTTGGTGAAAGGCTGAAATTCTGACGAACCCCACGTTATCGAAGTACAGTACAAGTTGAGGGGTTTTCATACAGTATCATGGATCTTTAGCATGTACAGTACATATATGAATGCAGTATTAAGAGGATCAGTGCACTGTTCCCTGTTGATAAACTATTTTTTCTCAGTTTTCTTCGTTTTCACTTTTTACTGATTCCCGGAGAATCGTGCAGGGGAAGCTCATCTCACGCGATGCGATACTAATTTGAGCGCATTAATTTCTTCTCTTTGAAAAACGAAGAGGTCCAAGTTATGATGCGACGAAGCACGAGTTCCTGTGTCCGTTGTGCATGAGGTTGAGCAACACTGTACTGCCTTTGGCTGCTCCTTTGTTCAAGTATCGGAAACTGTTGAACCAAGTGACGACCATTGGGCCGCAGATACCCGTTGAGGAATGGTCCAATGCGATGGATTGCGTAACTCGTTTGGCAGTAAGTTCTTTTTTTTTAGGATTGATTTCATCAACGCATGCTGGAACTTAATCGAATGATCAATAAAAAAGCATAACAATTCATGCCTCGTTCCTCTGTGTCATTGCGTTTGTGAATCTAAAATTTCGAGAATTTTTGGGTTTTCTTCGATATGGGCTGATGGCCTTGACTTCTTACGCGTTAAATTAAGGGAAAGTTTGCTGCCGTCGTTTTTCCGTGACCGCAATTCTGTAAGTGGTAACGTAGATGATTCTGTAATTCTTCAATTACCGTATTTAATTGAGTACCACGTGCTCTCAGGTAAGATGTGCACCTTGTTCTTTTTTTCTTTTTTTTAGCTCAAATTGTGGAACAATTGCTATCTCTCCATAAGACGCGCACCTTAGTTTTCATTTCCAAAATACAAAATATTCAAAATATTTTTCAGGACATGTTAAAAACAAAATTGAATAAGATTCTAAATACAAGCCTACTTCAAAGTTGACGTTAACTTCGCTGTTTTTCTTTTCTTATGCGGAAAAGAATCAGGGAAAAAAAACTTCGGGGAAAACTTCGAAGTTTAATGGAATTTACGATAAAATTTGTACCCGACTATGACATGCACCTTATTTTTGCCCCTGTTTTTGAAGAAAAAAAAGTGCGCGTGGTACACGAGTAAAAACTGTATTCAGGATTCTGAGGCAAATTTGAAAATTAGTCGTTGTTACGTATACAAGTTTGAACATTCTTCGAGTTCGCACTCTCCAGGGCTCCTGGTCTAAAGTCAATCTTTTGAGAACGTGTAAATCTTCTTTTGCGCATGACTTGAATGATTGACTGCACGTTTTCTCCGTTAGCGGAATATGCCCAAAAGCTTTTCGCCGGAAGAAGTTCGTAAAGCGGAGCTAGAATTGAACAAGTCGAAATCCGTTCCAACGAGAATCCCGCTTCGATTTTTGCCGGAATCCAGCGGTCCGTACGTCGTGTTCAATCCTGCCATTGACGAAGTGCTCATGGACGCAGCTTCCGACGGCTCCGTGTCCGATAACTCTGACGACGCTGCAGCAGCCGACGTCATCACCTTCGAACTCCTCTGCGCATCCACGCCAAAGAAGCAACGCAGTGCGACCGACACGCCCAACAGTGACGACGACGACGATGATCCCAGTATGTCGGACTCGGAGTGTCGAACCCTGTCGGCGCTCCGTCCGTTTTTCCGCAACCCGGACACGGCACTGCATAAGGAAGCTGACGAGAAGTTCGTCGCCGTCATGCAGTTATTTTTGACGAACACGTATTGTACGGGCTTCAGGAAGGAGAGAGGAGAGGAGTATGCTGGGATTCCGGTCGGTGTTTGGGCATCGGCGGCGTTTACGGTGCGCTGCGTGGAGCTGGAGTTGCGAGACGAATGCAAGCCACTGTTGGGCAGTTTTACGGTCAGACAGCTCGACACTGTCTCGCCGTTGGTCAAGTCCGGTGCTTTAGTCGCTTGTGATGGAAATAATCCAAGGGTAAGGGTGGAAAATATAATGTGTATGTAATGCAAGGTTGACTCTCCACGAGGATGTTGTCTACATCGATCTTGTCTACAACGATTTTCTCCGTACTGTATAAAGATTTTTTTGGGTTCCATGGAGGTCTTGGAGTTCTTTCCCCATGTTGAAGTGGTTCTCTACTACGAAATCCTCTCCATAATTAATTTGTTCTGGTCCCTTGAAGTTTTTTTCAATAATTTTGTGACAGTGGATCTCCACATAACCGAAGACCCGAAAAAAAAAATTCGTGTTACAAAACTTTTCATGGGCGAAAAATGACTAGCATGACGAAGATTTTTCACCTAACATAGCTTTCTTCCCCAAAGAAGCGCGAACTCGTACAGTTTTTCGACTAAAACTTCGGAATATTATTTTTTAATTGAATAAAAGTAGAAAATGAGGTGTATTACTTTTGAAAATTGTTATCTTTGAATTCGTGAAATGCGGAAAATTTGGAGCACAAACTAATCAGGATTATTCGAATTTCCTATTTACAGTATAATTTGAAGTTAACAATTTTATGCAAAACAAAGCTTGGAAAAATACCTGCAGTTTGATTGCGTCGTGTTTGGACAAATTCGTCTTGATGCATACGCATATTTTTTTTGCGCAGAAAATTTTGAAGATGATGCGATGCGTGATGGACCCATTGTTTTTGCCGTACGAGACGTCCAGACTGGACAGGATAAGTGTGATGCACGTGGATGCCTTCAGCGTTTTCGTCTCGCTTATCTACGGGCAACGGGTTTTCCTCGACTTCCCCCATGTGCTGCTCAAGCCTCATTCCACCGGGAATCCCGGCTGGGAAAAGTGGGAAGAGGTTTGGGGACTAGGCGGAAAGGAGCCTGTTTCTGTCGTGATACCAACTGGCGATGCTTTGGTGAGTCTCGAATTTCATCATCTTTTGCTGCTTGATCCACCGTCGCCGGAAAGGGTTCTCTCTTCGTTTTATTTTTTATTCACCATTATGGATTCTGGGAGTTTCTTCTTAATTTCATGCGTGTCGCCCGAATTTATTTACATTTTGTGACGTCTAAATTACCCATGTTTACGACAAGTTAGTTTAGATTCGGTGCCGCTGTCGGTCAACTAACGAGGAATTGTTATAAAGTTTCACGAGTACTGTATAATACCTCGTGAATGCATTTGATGGGATACCGAAGTTTCTGATGAGGAATTTTTCTAACCACGGAGAGTCTCAGGTTATATGCTTGACATTTCTTTGCGTGAAGCCAGCCGTGCATCTTGAAACCGACGCTAAACTGTTGACATTTTAAAAATAACTGCACATTCAGCCTCACCAACGGAACAATATCAGATATAATAGCCTTTTTTAATTCGAAAAATTTTTCATTAGATCTGAGATATTTTCGAATCTCTTCGAGTTTCTATCGGATATTTGACTAGCCTGGAAATTAATTTGTAAAACATGCGAAGGCGGCAGACGAACCTTATTTCGTCACGGTGATGGGGGTGCCGTTTAAATCCCGTTTTCTCGACTTTTCAACTTGGGGGAACATAAATGAAAATAGTGGTCATGACTCGATGAAATATAGGTGAAGTATTTATTCGTGAAAAGCCTGCCTGTCTCCTTTCATCCAACCAGGAATGCACAAGGTTAATGTAATTTTAAACGCGCAAATATAAATCAACCGTTTGAAGTACTGGATTAATATTTTTAGTGATTCAGGCGACACCTGTCTGACCAAATAGCAAGGTTTGACATAGAAACGAGAAGAACCGCTTCAGTTTGTCGCGTCACTTGAATTGAATACAGCTGCTTTCGGACTCAATACTTTATTTTTAGAAATATTTTTTGTATTGTTTTTGATTCAATAATCCTTCTACAGAAGTTGAACGAAACCTGCAATGACTGAAAATTTTCTCACTTCATATTATTTTACGTACGGTATCTGTATTTATAAGCATGCTTTAAAAAATTTTACCATCAGGAATTTACAGAAAATTCTAATAACCGAAGTCAGGTTATGTCATCTATTTCAAACGCATCATAAATTCCGATATTATCCCTCGTGATAAAGTGGACTGTCCAAGAAGAGGATTAATTTATCTCGACATCGGAGTTCAGAAAATATTTACAGTGTGTTATTCTGCCTATTCAGTGTCCCATTGTATTCAGCAAAGCATGAGAGGACAGTGTATTGCTCGAGTTCTTACGATCCCGTTTTATTTCAGGATTTGTGCGCCGTACAATTTTGCATGGTATTGCATTTGACGCAACTGATTCTCCTGCACGAGCAAAACTCCCTGCCGGACGTGTTCAACGAAGAGGACGACTACTACTTGACAGCTCAAGCTTCTGTTCGGAAAGCAGCTGCGATGAATGCGAGGAAATCCAGGGACGAAAGCGGGGCATCGGGTGATGGGAAAAACGTTGGTTGTGTCGCAGGGATAAAAGCATTTGTAAACGCTTTAATGGAGCTGTGTGAAGAGGCTGGGATCGAAATCGCTGCACCGTTACTTGATTCGGATTACGTGGCCTCTCTGGAAAACGCTTTGTGAGTGATGCTTATTTCGTCCACGCTATAATCCCTGCTTCAATTATTTTTCCATTTTGTTCGCTTGGGTGCATTTTTTTTCCTTCAATATTCTTTCAAAAATTCAATCAAACCCCGTTGAGAACCACCCCCCCCCCTCCCCTCCGAGAATCCACCACTTCTGCGACCGCCAATTTATGTTTGAAAACTTATCTTTCTTAATGATGAAAGCATCGGAAACCCCATTGAAACGCCATCCGCCAATATTATTATTTTTTCCCCCTGATGAAAAAATACAAGCACACAGATGACATACGGTAACTTACTGCTTGGGAACATTAGCTAGATATAATTTACGCATCCCAGGGTTATTTTGATTGTATTTTAGAAAAAATAATAATTTTGTTTCCTGTCATGTCTAATTTTCATATTACAGTACTTAATTTATCTTTTTTGATTGACTATCAACCTTCTTTGAACTACCACAAACCTCAGAAACGAAGGCCGGTGGCTTGTCGAGGGTTGAGTGTGCAGTACTACTGTATTCTAGGGTACATTTTTACGGAGTTTCATTCTATTAACGAACTCAACCCCAATTCAGAAAAGTTGTTTTGAAGTTTGAAAATGAACATTTTTGGTAAACTTCAACGTGCAACAATTCGTCAAAATCGATGATGGATGTGTTGAGGAAGCTTAACAAGATGTTTGTTTTTGCAGTCGCCCATTCTTGCGATGCTGTGCCATGTTTGCGCATTTTCTAACTGATGTGCCTCCGTCTGCGGAATTAACTGAAGTGGATGGGGACTCGTACAAGGAATTGGCCTCATACATGGGAATGCCGGCATCGTTGAATGAGCTGTTTGAGGATGTCGTCAGTGTCAGTACTTACCGGCTCTGGCTGAGTAGGTTAGTTACTTCACTGTCGGGTTAGCTTCTTCTTTCTTCTGGCTTCGAGTGACGTGTAATTTCATGTTAGGTGGTTGACGTACCCGAAAGTGAGGGAATTCATAGTTGAAAAGAAGATGACGGTAGGGATGGAAAAGCAGTTGGAGCCGTTCGCACCGTTGAGAATCAACAGGTTGATCAAGCTGCCGCAAAATTTCAGCGAGCTGATCAACAGGACGTCGAGCTTCAGGTGTCCCAGTGATCCGGAATCGTGGCAGTTCCACACCATATGTTTGGTTTGCGGCAAGTTCCTGTGTTCACCCGTGAGTGTCCGTTTCATTACTATTATTTTATTTTTCGAAAGAGTTCTTGGGAGATGTGGGGAAAACTGAATAATAACTCATTAGAACGAATCACATTTTTTCTTGGCCTGTTTTGTTTGCAAGAAGTTTCGATTCGTAGATATTGTACATCAGCTGTTTTCAAATTTTATTTGAAAATAAATTATAATGTGACTTCAACTACGAGTGACATCTGGTTTTATAGAACAAAGATGACTTGTGATTATAGAGAACAAAATGAGGAGTGCAGGGTTAAAAAAAATACATTCCCGACAAATTTTCGATCTTATAAATGATATTGCATTTTAGTTTTTGCCGTGAGGAACGATAAAAACTGTCTGGTGCCTGAGTGATATAATCACGCCAGCATGGAATTCTAATTCGGACGATTAGCCTAAGTGAAATTAGGGATGCTTGATTTTGTTTGCTATTGATTTTTACCTGTGTATTTTCTAAAAATTCTTGATCTACCATCTGGTTTTCGTCTCGCTTGAAATTTTTTGAGCAGGGTTTCTGTTGCAAAGTGGAGTTGGATAGCAAACACTTGGTCGGAGCTGCGACATATCATACCAGGTGCTGTGGTGCGGGTTGTGGAATATTCTTCGTAGTTCAACACGTTGCCATCCTCATGTTGTCCGAGAAGAATAAAGGTGAGTTTTCCTCGAGTGTCCGGAAATTTTGCACGCCTGCCAAAATTGAGCACATGCTTCATTCAGACAATGTGCTCTGAGAACAGTGACGTACAGGATGGACCAGAAAAAATTAAAACTATTTTTAAAGTGTTGTAACTCATGAACGGTAAGAGCTATCACGGTGAAGAATCATCAAATTGAAGCTCAATTGATTCTTATTTGAATTAGGTCCAACTCAATGGCCGTAGTTACATTTAATTGACCACGATGCGTATATGGAAAGAAATGAAAATCCACGGAGAAAGCTTTCGTGTTCTTTAGGAATTTGGAGGAGCTACTTGAGTACCCTTCTCTTCGAATGGTTCTCAAGGAAGCATCCCAGTAGAACTTTTCAAATTTCAGACTGCTGAGGGATTTTCTAATTTTTAAAAATTTGATTCGTGACAAAATAGCAAGTCAAGGATTCGAAGGTGGCTTAATTTTGCTTTTCCTGTCCCAATTCAGTTCACCCTCGCTGGAAAAAAAAAAAAAAGATAGGATCTCTTTTTTTTTATCTGTTATAAGCTGTAAAGAAATACCTTACCATAAATTTAAGATTGGCCAACCCTGTACATAGGATTGGAATGCCAATTGGTAAAAAAAAGAAAAGAGGGTTTCTTCGCTTCAAGCTGACCTTGCTGTCTGAATCGCCGTTCAAGCTGGCAACGAATTTGAAAGTGATTTTGGCGACACCTTGGAATAAATACGAGTTCAGGGATAGGTGGAAGGGATCGAGCTTTTTAGGAAAATGAACTCAATCTTTCTGTCAAAAAATTCTTCATGTGCTCTCAATTTGTGTGTTCGAACCTTGTTTTTCAGGCTGCAACATGAATGCGCCGTATGTGGATAAGTTCGGCGAACCCGACATGGGACTACGTCGAGGAAACCCGCTGACTTTGCATAAAGAACGTTACCTGGAGCTTCAAAAGCGTTGGCTAACACACTGCATCCCTGAGTCGACCTCGTCTGCGATGGATAACGCTTCACAGTTCCTTAGTACTGACTGGAACCAACTCTAAAAACTTCTGCTATGCTTAGTTTTCGTACCCGAATCTCTCCTTTGTGTTTGCTTCAGAAAAGTTCGCGTTTCCTCCTGGTTATTCGTGCCACTGAGAGATTCAGTCTTTTTGTCGGAAGAAAGGAGGGTTTGGTCTATTTAGAAATACGCGTGGACTTCGTTTTTTTCTGCGTCGAATAATTCGGGAGAAAGGTACCGCGTAGAGCGAAAAATCTGAGGTCCTCTAAGTGGGTGTGTGCAAACCGTCTTCTGCTTTTTTTTTCGAGTGATTCGGATCACGATGAAAGATTGATTTTCGGGGGTCAAGTGGGGTGACAAAAGTTTTTGAAAAGAACTGCTAGGAATTTTTTTTTTTCAATTCGGTTGTGGAACGCGGGGAATGGAACTTTTGAGAATCTGTAGAGACCGTGAGACTCGAAAACGCGAGCGATTTTAGTAAAATATTCCTTTGTTCAGTTTAATTTTAAACAAATAAAAGATGACGCTTTTGAAAACTAACGAATTTGTTCAGTGTTTCAGTTGTTTTCTGGGGTGATTTGCAATGACCGGAACGGACTGGTTGGGTTTTGGATATGCTGGGGTTGTTGCTGCTGGAGGACTTGTTGGATACTTGAAAGCAGGTAATTTTCTTGTTGCATTTTCGCTTGAAGGTGAAGCTTTCGTGTGATGTGAAAAAATATTTAGCTTTAATCAGTTGCAAGGAAATACGTGTGATTAAAAAGAAAAGACGAACAAGATTGAAACGAATTGTGTCGCCTGAAATATTGCGTTGAGAAAACGTTAGATTTTACTTTGAACGAGGTCCAATTTAATAGATTTCGTTGCATTGGGATGTATTGAATGCGCAAGTGAGAGAAAAAATGCTGAAGTAGAAGTTTTTTATATATTTCCATATTGGAAGATTTCAGCTGATGTTTTCTATTGGTTTCGTACACTTTAAAATGTTACACATGCTTCAAATTGGCGACACTTCCTGCATGAACCTGAACATTTTGTAGCTTAGGTTAAATGAGCTTCGCATTCGTGAATTTTCTGCAAAATAAAAGTTGTTCGCCGATTTTTGAAATTCAGAAGATACCGGGCCACTGAATCGTACTTCTTGAACAGATTGAAGCTAGTGCTGTTTCATGTCGTTTTTCTCTCAAATTTTATTTTGAGTAATTTACGTATGACCTGATCTGATGCGAACAAGCATCTGAGTGAAACTGACTCGTGGCTTTCTTGAATTATTTTCATTATAGCCACTAATTCAATTTTTTTATTGTTATGTATTGTTCGGTATTCCAGGAAGCATAGCATCGATGCTGTCTGGAGTGATGTTCGGTTCGTTGCTTGGCTTTGGTGCATATCAAACCAGTGGCAACCCTGCAAACGCACATGTCACCATGGTTACAAGTGCTGTCATGTCGGGAATGATGGGATACCGATACTCAAACTCTAAGAAGTTCATGCCTGCCGGATTGATGGCCATTTTAGGGTGAGATGAGGTTATTCTTGCGACTAGTGTATTTACTTCAGGGTATATATATTTATTTTTTGTAGTGCGGTGATGTTTGCCAGATCGCTGTATCAAGTGTACACTTACAGTGCGAATGCGAAGATCAAGCAGTGAAGCGCAATGTTATAATTCAGTGACGCACCTTGTTTCTGCAAGAGCCACGAAATGAACATATTTTTTTCTCATCGCTTCTTTTTTCATTACTCTTGAAAATACGGCGATAACAGTGGACTATTTTTGTTTCTCTGAGGTGCTGAATTTTGTTGTACAAATTGGTGATTTACTGGATTAATACGAGCCGCTGTACAATTAGTGCGCGATTTTTGCGAAGAATATTTTGGAAACGCTCCGTGATGAAACCGTTTTGTAATTTTACTCAAGCGTAACGTATCCCCTTTTCATTTCGAATTATTGGGTGCATCTGTCCTTCAGCTTGAGTGCATAAGGTGTACAGTATATGCATTCTCTCATTGTGAAGCTTTTGCAATGCATGCTTGGATTGAGCATAACTTAAATAAATTGCTTTTCCCCTATTCTTTCCAAGGGTATGCAGACATTTTTATCACAATAAATTAATCAGAAGTGTAAGGTTGTTATTACATGAAACTTTGGGATACAATGACAGTTAAAATTATCTGATGAAAAATGAAGGATGGCTTTTCTCCTAATCAGGCTTCAAACAAATTTGCAGCTGTGGAAAAAAACTGCAATGTATTTTCATTTTTAAAAACCTTTTCTCAAGCGTACCTTTTTAATTTTTTGAAGAAATTCCGCTGAAGCTGCTCTGTTGTATCTTCACTGAATTTTTGCAAAAAAGCAGAAACTTTGGATGGACTTGCCATGGAATATTTCAAACGAAACTTTTTGTCTGCAAAGTTTTGGTGAAACGTTGCAGCTCTGCAAATATTTTGTGAAACCTTGCTGGTCTGCAGAAATTTTTTGTGTGCATAAGTTTTGGAAAAATATGAATTCAAAGGTAATTATTATAAGGAATATTTTTGTGAATGTCTACTCTCAGGAAGTGCTTCTGTGTCATAGGCTAGGCCTCAAACGTGTGTGAAACTCGCTGAGATTGTAATTGATTCCAATAAAATGTGTCCTGGCTTTTCTATACGCGCCGTATATTCGTGCTTCATGAACTGAAACCAATCGCAGCATTGTCCTTGAAAGAGTTCATCATATGGGTGAATGCGTGCCGGCATAGATAAGATGCTTTACTTCCTACTGCTGTATCTGCGTGTGTGGATGTAACGTTAGCAGGCTCGATTTTTTAATACAAGCAGTTCAATATGATCAAGAGTGTGCGGCCCTATCAAGATGAGCCATTGACTTACGGTAAATTTCCGGATGGGTTCGCGTGGGGGCTGGCAACGTCATCTTATCAGATTGAAGGAGCTTGGAATGAAGATGGTGAGCTTTCAAGTCGAATATCGCGATTCAATTATGTCCAGCTTCGGAAATTGGGATTTTTTTTTTTTTTTTTAGGAAAGAAAGAAAGCATTTGGGACAGATTCGTTCGAGTCGAGGGGAAGATAAAGGGAGGCGATACTGGAGATATTGCGTGTGATAGCTACCATCGTTGGGAAGAAGATGTCGCTCTCGTGAAGGAAATTGGTGTAAGCTGGTTCACATTAACGCAAGATGGCTTTCTGTTCTTGTGTGATGAAAGTTTACATTGAGGCTCGTGTGAAAGGATGCGTCATATGTAATGACGTCATTTTTTAAATGTGGTACAGTATTTATTTACAGTAATTTGAAATAGCACGTTATTTAAATTCCTGTCATAGGCGACTCATTACCGGTTCTCCATATCTTGGCCACGTATCTTGCCGGAGGGCATCGGAGCTGTGAATCAACTGGGAGTAGATTATTACAATCGCTTGATTGATGCCCTGTTGGAAGCTGGGATTCAGCCAATGGTAATTCAGTTTTCTCTTTCTTTAAATGCATCAATTGTTCCGTTTCCGACCTGGAAGTTGTACGGTGGAAATAATTTTCTCTCATAATTGTGTGTCACGCACCGCGTCTATTGTAATGATGGACGAAAAACAATGGAAGGAATTATTTTCAACAGGCGACGCTCTATCACTGGGATTTCCCGCAGTGTTTGGAAGACAAAGGCGGATGGTTGAATGACGATGTTCCGAATGGTTTGAAGAATACGCCGCAGCGTGTTTTGCAGCTTTCGGAGATCGGGTAAATAATCACAGTAGTGAAGGGACTCTTCAAATTAGTAGATTTTATGCATGTTAGTTCATCAATTTCTGCGCCAAAGTTATCATCTGGTCTTATTTTAGGCGGCTGTCATCAGCTAGGAAAAAAAGCACTTCGCCTGAAAAGCATACCCCGATGTTATACAGCTAGTATTTGTTTTTATATTATAAAATGGTTTTCGATCGTATGTTATATTTTATGATGAACAACTTATTTTTGATGGAAGTGTATTAAAAACGTTATGTCTGCATGTAGCTCATTACATGTGAATGAATGATCAACCTATCACAATTCAAGATACGAAGCATGCAGCAGATGAACAAAAAAAGCCACCAATGCAAAATCGCGCTTAACAAGAGCGATAATAAAAAATTGTCACTGCGCGTGGCAATAACTTCCGGAATCATTTACGGTTCAGAGAGAAAAACAGCGATATTTTTCATGAGAATTTCATTCTGAATGGCAGTTATTCTGTCTGTAGATCAGATCGTTCTTTTAAAATTTCTGCTGAGCTATAGAAATACAGTCAAGGTAAGTTAGAAATTTATCATGTATAGATATGCAATTTTTGGACCAATTATAAGTCTCATTCCCCGTTCTTATCAAGTAAAATCTTCAAAAATGTTCGCCTTATATATATTTCAGTAAATGCGGCTGTATTTATCTTTTCTAGAAAATTTCCGAATATTGTTAGGGGTTCAAGGGTTTGTGCAATCGTATGCACAGTACAGTATATGCTGACGAACGTGAATTCTTAATTGAATTAAGGTGAAGTTGTGGATCACGTTGAATGAACCGTACATTGCTGCGCTCGTGGGGTACGAGAAAGGAATATTCGCTCCCGGGATTCAAGATCCCGGAAAATCCGCGTACATTTGCGGGCATAACATGCTGAAAGCTCATGCAAAAGCTTATCGGAAGTATAAGCAAGATTTCAAAGGTCAAGAAGGTACAGTGTACAGCATATATTTTTTTTTTATGACGTGAAGCAATATTTTTCTGCATTCATCCCATATTTCACGATATGCGTGTACCGTATATCAAGGTAAGCTGGGCATCAGCTTTTTCACCGAGGCGGCTTTTCCTGCGTCTGATTCCGAAGACGATGTGAAGGCGACCAACAGATACATGCAGTTTACGCTGGGCTGGTTCGCACATCCGATTTTCAAAGACGGGAATTACCCTCAAATTATGATTGATCAGGTGAAGATTATGGTTCTGTCGTTGCGATGATTCATATCAGCTTTAGACTATAGTTCAGAAATCGTTGCCTGAAGGATTACTCTTGGGAAAACTGGAAGGTGGATTATCGTCGTCCTTACCATTGTAATTTTTATCTGGAAATCTTCTGGGTTAAAATACATTTCGCAGGCGAATCATTGAGTGTTTACGATGAAGTACAATAAGCGGAGCATTCTAAAAGCTGCTATAATAGTCAGCGGAGAAGTCCGCATTTTGCGTATGTTCGAATACTGTACTTACAAGTATTTACACGCAGAATTTGGGAGAAAATCATGCTCAAGTACCGTTTCCGCACGTATAAAAATACATTCGTGATTCTATACTATACAGTAGGTTTCAAAATTGATGAGAAAATTGTTCGAATGTTTGAAAATGTGTGTATTGGCGAATTAATGCTTGGATGGTTGCATTTTTTGCACCGGAAAAAAATAAAGCATCACGATGATGGAATAAAATCTATATCTTGGGAACTGTATATATTGAGAAAAAAATCCAAGCGCGGGATTTTTAGTTCCAGCAGACGGTTGGTATACGTTTACTTTCAGCTGCTCGAATACTGTATACGAAACTGCTGTACTCCTTTTTTGATCAAACAGATAGGTGAGAAAAGCAAACTTCAAGGTTTCCCACAGTCTCGACTGCCTATTTTCACGAGGGAAGAACGAAAACAGTTGCTAGGTTCTTCCGACTTCATTGGACTGAATCACTACACGTCGAAAGTCGTTTCACACGCCGTTGGCAACCATGAAGTTGTCAGTTGTGCAGAAGACAGAGATGTTAAACTTGATTATGATCCTACTTGGCCAAAGTGAGTTTCTTTTTTTCTGTACCGATTAAGGTTCACTGCTGGAAATTTATCATTGTTCAAGTCCTTTGACATGCCGCTGATAAAAGTACGGTACCTTATTATTATTATTATCATATCGTCGTTGTACTTCTGCGTTTTCAGCTCGGGATCTGTTTGGTTGAGACCTGTTCCTCCAGGAATGAGAATGCTTCTGAACTGGGTGAAAGACGAATACGGCAACTTGCCAGTTTATATAACTGAAAACGGAGTTTCAGATACTGCTGGAAATCTGGATGACTTGCACAGGATTTACTATTACAAGCACTTCATCAACAATGTTTTGAAGGGTTCGTATTTTGACCTTCTTTTAAACACTTCTCCATTTCTGACTCACCGTCGGAAAATATGTCTACTCATGTACGTATTAAACATTAGTGTCTTTAGATTAGATCTCAAAGCATCATGTAGTATTCATGTAATACGGAACAAAATACGTATTACAGTATTATTAATGCACATGTCACATGTGTTCATCATTGTTGTCATTAACTCACAGTACTGTACTTCGTTTCACAATATTCGAGGATTACAACTTTCAAGCATGATCCAAGCACACAAGTACTGTATACATAAAGAACATCGGTAATTATTGAAAACGCCATTGATTGAATTTCATTTTTTAGATGGTTCTACTATCGTGAGAATATTTTTGTTGATTCCGTTTGATCGACGGACTGAAAATTCAAATGTTGGATTTATATACGGTACATTGGATTTATATAAGCCATGAATTATGTATCATAGCAATGAAAGTATGTATACTGTACATAAATTTTACAGCTATTACGTTGGATGGATGCAAGGTTGAAGGATACTACGCGTGGAGTCTGATGGATTCTTTTGAGTGGACGGTTGGGTATTCGTAGGTGGACTTGTATTTACTATTGTCAATTTGCATGTGAATACAGTCAAGCCTCCTTGAGTAGAACATCAAGGGATTAGCAAAAAGAATTCGATCCAGGGAGGTTTTCAGTTGAAGAATTGAGCATTCTTATTGGAGGAGATGAAGAAGAATTGAAGAAAATTGTAATTAGTGATATTCCTGGACCTTTAATTGCATCCTAATTAACTTAAAGGATGCTGAACTTGGAGGTAAGTGTTTGTATGTGCCAAAAGAGTCTTTCACTTCCTTTCAGGACACATCGTTATATTTTTTACTGCTTTTCATTTTCCTATGTTAATAAAATAATACTGTACCAGAAGGCCTTCAGAAAATTTGACGCTTGTAAGTTCAAGGGGAGAGCCTTTGGTTTCGGGAGGCGTTTAATGCATTATTTCTATAGGGGAATCCAGACAGTGACTTGAACAAATTGACATAGGGAGGCATTCGAACTCGGGGAGGTTTGATCGAGATTTCGTGGTTCGACTTAAGCATGTATTTTATTTGTTACACCAGAGAAAAATTCGGAGTGTGCGCTGTGGACTTCGCGGATAAGAATCGCAGACGGACGATGAAATCATCCGCACGCTTTCTTCGTCGAATTTTTGCGGACAATGGTTTCTTGAAAGATGGGAATCCGTGGTATGACGTCCCTGATGCTAAGCACTACACGGGGCAGCGCTGATTTTTCTCGCATAAGTTTCTTCCGAGTCAAGTGAAGGGGCTCTACAACTTTATCCTCGCATTTGTTCCGAGCTGAGCTTTGCTTCGTGGTGTCGTATTAGAAAAAAAAGTGCATTCTGAATCCGATCAGCAGAGGGTATTTTTATAAACTGAAAGATTTGCTTTAAATCCGACAGTTATCACATTTTTAATACGAATATGAGTCCAAGTCCGTGCGCAGAAATCTTTTTGTTGATGAAAAAAATGGTTGAAAACACAACTCAAGTTACACAAGTGAACCGCGTAACTTCATTCATGGGCGCCGTTCGCGGTCAGAAAATTCACGATCTCCTCTCCTTTTCCGAATCTCCTCGCGTAACTCAGCGGAGTATCACCGACTTTGTCGCGCGAATTCACGCTCACGCCGAATTCCAGCAAAATTTCGAGCACTTTCAACAAAGGCTTGTTGCGTCTGGAATAGAAGGCCAGATGAATCGGACCGCTGTCTAAAATGTCAGACTTTCGGATATCCGGATCAGTTCCTCTCAAAATGAATTCCTCTACCAGTTCCGGAGTTGTCAAATACGCCGCCTCGTGCAAGGCAACCGCTTTACCGCAGCAAGAACTTTCTTTCATCGGATCAGCGCCACACATCAGCAATTCCTTCACTGCGTCAATGTTGTTGTAGATTTGAGCCGCGTTGTGCAACAGGGTCCAACCAGATGGTAGATGTGCGTTGATATCCTCTGGGAATTTTGAACAGAAGGGGCCGAATTTGGCACCGAAGCTCCGCAGGATATCTGCCAAATAAATAGATGTCGCTGACGACTTGAGTGCGATGCTCAATGCGGTCAAGCCGGTGTTGTCAGACAAATTTATATTTGCATTGTTATTGAGAAGAAATAGAACTCCTTGTTCATTATTTGCTTCTACTGCGTGCATCAAGGGCGTTTTTCCATCTTTGTCAGTTGCATCAATGTTTGCACCTGGAAAATACCAAGTTAAAGTTATTGCTGTTGCAAAAATAAATGGCAGTGTTAAATTTGTCAACACAAAATCAGAGAACCCAAATTCTCAGTAGAATCTTCTTTCATTTCAGCTCTGTGAGGATCTCAAAAGACCTTGGTTCTCACATTTCTTTCCAAGCCTTTGAGGCTGACTTTTACTGCTTAAATTCTGGTTGCTGTTTTTCATCCTTGAAGGACAGTTTTCAAAGTCTGCATGAAAACTTCACTTTCATTCAAGAGCTTGTGTGATTCACTCAAAGATTTTATGCGTGAACCATTTTGTTTGTGAAATTGACTATTTTTCAAAGTACATCAACCTTAAAATGGGGTGAAATTTCACCCCAGCTGCAGCCCAACCAAGCTCTGTTGTTTTATTCATCTAAATATTCATAAACCTAACCTTCTTCTCAAACATCAGTATTTGTTGAGAACTTATTCTTGGCAATTACTGCTGATTTTCCACATGTCAAAATTTTCAAGTTTTTCTTTTCAAAGTTTTGTCAATTTTTGACAAAAAAATTAATTCTCAAATTTAATATTTGCAAATACAGTATTAAAGAGTCTTCTCAAACTCTGGGTATTGAGAGCCTTGAACGGCCATCAATATGAGTTATTCATAATCAACACTCCTATCATTGCTGATTCATGCTTATAAAAGGAATGCACACCTATCCACATAACCATACAATCAAATGCCAAGTTAATTTATTCAAATAGTCAAAATGTGAATTTTGAAGAAAGAACTGCTTGAGAAATGGATTTTCCTGCAAACACTTTGTTGCTTTATCCATCAAAGGATTTGATGCGCTCTATGCAAAACCTCAAATTAAAAAAGGGAGTAGTTATTTTCTGAATTCAATCTCCAATTCAAATTATTTTGCAGTACTACTGCTGGTGAAAGCCCACCGGATCAAATTTGTTGAAGGTCACTCTTTTACACATTTGATATAATGGCGGGGATACCATGAGAAACTATGCTGTTGAAATTATTATCTTGTAAAAAATGTCAAAAATATTGCACCAAAACATTTTGGTCGTTTTTCCATCAGGGACTCTTGTACTGTACTGCATAATTAACGAACTTTCACTCCTTCATCCTGTATTTTGGGAGAAATTCTGATTTGTTTCTGCTGACTGCTATATCTGCATAGAACAAATTTCTCCGAAGAAGTATTCCAGAATACTTGCTGAATATAAGAAATCTGGACTAGATTATTTTCTTCTTGAGAATATTTGTTGCTTCTGATGCTGATGTGACAAATTTGTTTATGTCAAGTATTAAATCCTGCAGGGATACTGATGGACACGTTGATGTTATATTTTTTTTATGAAGTGATTGCCGAAAAAGTTTGAATATTCGGCAATTTTGGTCCCTGCATGACTTTACAAATAAGTTCACTGTTTTTTATTCATCTTGCTGTGACAACGTTCCATTAAACATACTGCATGTCCTTCTATAATAGTTTCCACAATTTTATTTTCGAGACTACTTTTTTATTGTAGCAAGATTCTAGGTAATACCTCAATTTAAAAGAAACATTTTCCAACTATGCATGTTTGATTACTTAGATAGATATACTACACAGCTGGCTTCCTGTTGAATGACGAAATTATTAAATAAAAGTCTCTTCAAATTATTCTTAATGTGTGTACAGCATATACCTTTTCGCAACAATGCGGCCAAAATTTCGAGTCTGTCATGTGTTCTTGCTGCATGATGCAACGCAGTCAAACCAGAGGAATCAGCAGAGTTGCCATCTCTAATCCCTTGACCCCCTGATTTCTCTAAAATTTGTTGAAAGTCGCACACAGTCCCGTTCACTGCAGAAATGAACATGTTACTGGAGTTCCTTTCTTGGTGTTTATATCCAGTCGCATTCCGTGCCTTGACAAATTTAGCACAGCTTTATAATCTCTGCGTGATACACTTCTTTCCATGAGATGAGATCCGATAGTGGCTCTTGTCAAAGAGCTGCATGGAGATGATTCTGACAGCACATTCTCTGTGCACAATGTGTTTTGAGTCCACACTGATGGAATTGTGAGGAATTGAATGAAAAAGCAAGTCTTGCTGCTCAGGCTCAGCATGGCTTCAAACTGCTGTCACATGTTCAAGAAGTGCCTGTTATTAGTGACAAATATACTATATACGAACTATATAATCTGAAGGCTTCCTGTGAGGAAGTTGATAATGGGCCGACGGAATTCCCTGTCCTTTCGAAGTTTCGAGTAAAAAATAAAAACGCCCATGCTGGTTTCTTCAATGTTTTTCCCTAAGTGGGGAAGATTATTACACATTACCCTGAGCACAAAATAGAAGTAAAATCGCGTTACAACAAACTCACAGGGACTTGAGAAAAAAAATTTGTTACACTGAATACTTTATTTTACTGTATTGTAATTTTTATCTGGAAATCTTTCCGGTTAAAATACAAGAGCGCAGTCGAATCATTGAGTGATGCCACTGAAGTACCAAAGTATAAAAAGAGCGATCTATAAGTTGCCATAATGTATATAATTATAATTTTGCGTATGTTCAAATACTGTACTTACAAGTATTTGAGCGCAGAATTTGGGAGAAATGTATGCTCAAGTATACCGCTTTCGCACATATAAAAATACATTCGTGATTCTCTACCGTAGTTTCAAAATTGATGAGCAAATTATTCGAAGGTTTGAGAATGTGTGTATTCACTGTATTGGCGAATAAATGCTTGGATGGTTGCATTTTTTGCCGCAGGAAAAAAATAAAGCATCACGACGAGATTATAGATTGAAACCTACATGATAGATACTGTATATATTTGAAGAAAAATCGAAGCGCGGTATTTTTAGTTTCTGCAGACGGTTGGTATACGTTTACTTTCAGCTGCTTGAATATACGAAACTGCTGTACTCCTTCTTTGATCGAACAGACAGGTGAAAAAAGCAAACTCCAAGGTTTCCCACAGTCTCGACTGCCTATTTTCACGAGGGAAGAACGAAAACAGTTGCTGGGTTCTTCCGACTTCATTGGACTGCATCACTACACGTCGAAAGTCGTTTCACACGCCGTTGGCAACCATGAAGTTGTCAGTTGTGCAGAAGACAGAGATGTTAAACTTGATTATGATCCTACTTGGCCAATGTGAGTTTCTTTTTTTCTGCACCAATTAAGGTTCACTGCTGGAAATTTATCATTGTTCAAGTCCTTTGACATGCCGCTGATAAAAGTACGGTACCTTATAATTATTATTATTATTATCATATCGTAGTTGTACTTTTGCGTTTTCAGCTCGGGATCTGTTTGGTTGAGACCTGTTCCTCCAGGAATGAGAATGCTTCTGAACTGGGTGAAAGACGAATACCGCAACTTGCCAGTTTATATAACTGACAACGGAGTTTCAGATACTGCTGGAAATCTGGATGACTTGCACAGGATTTACTATTACAAGCACTTCATCAACAATGTTTTGAAGGGTTCGTATTTTGACCTTCTTTTGAACACTTCTCCATTTCTGACTCACCGTCGGAAAATATGTCTACTCATGTACGTATTAAACATTAGTGCCTTTAGATTAGATCTCAAAGCATCAAGTAGCATTTATGTAATACGGAACAAAATACGTATTACAGTATTAATAATGCACATGTCACATTCGTTCATCATTGTTGTCATAACTCACTGGACTTCGTTTCACAATATTCGAGGATTACAACTTTCAAGCATGACCCAAGCACACAAGTACTGTATACATAAAGAACATCGGTAAATATTGAAAACGCCATTGATTGCATTTCATTATTTAGATGGTTCTACTATCGTTAGAATATTTTCGTTGATTCCGTTTGATCGACGGACTGAAAATTCAAATGTTGGATTCATATACGGGTACATTGGATTTATATAAGCCATGAATTATGTATCATAGCACTGAAAGTATATATACTGTACAAACATTTTACAGCTATTGTATTACGTTGGATGGATGCAAGGTTGAAGGATACTACGCGTGGAGTCTGATGGATTCTTTTGAGTGGACGGTTGGGTATTCGTAAGTGGACTTGTATTTACTATTGTCAATTTGCATGTGAATACAGTCAAGCCTCCTTGAGTAAAACATCTAGGGATTAGCAAAAAAATTCAATCCAGGGAGGTTTTAAGTTGAAGAATTGAGCATTCTTATTGGAGAAGAAGAATTGAAGAAAATTGTAATTAGTGATATTCCTGGACCTTTAATTGCATCCTACTTAACTTAAAGGATGCTGAACTTGGAGGTAAGGGTTTGTATGTGCCAAAAGAGTCTTCACTTCTGCTTTTCATTTTCCTATGTTAATAAAATAATACTGTACCAGAAGGCCTTCAGAAAATTTGATGCTTGTAAGTTCAAGGGGAGAGCCTTTGATTTCGGGAGGCGTTTAATGCATTATTTCTATAGGGGAATCCAGACAGTGACTTGAACAAATTGACATAGGGAGGCATTCGAACTTGGGGAGGTTTGATTGAGATTTCGTGGTTCGACTTAAGCATGTATTTTATTTTTTATACCAGAGAAAAATTCGGAGTGTGCGCTGTGGACTTCGCGGATAAGAATCGCAGACGGACGATGAAATCATCCGCACACTTTCTTCGTCGAATTTTTGCGGACAATGGTTTCTTGAAAGATGGGAATCCGTGGTATGACGTCCCTGATGCTAAGCACTACACGGGGCTGCGCTGATAATTCTCGCATAAGTTTCTTCCGAGTCAAGTGAATGGGCTGTAAAACTTTATCCTCGCATTTGTTCCGAGCTGAGCTTTGCTTCGTGGTGTCGTATTAGAAAAAAAGAGTGCATTCTGAATCCGATCAGCAGAGGGTATTTTTATGAACTGAAAGATTTGCTTTAAATCCGACAGTTATCACATTTTTAATACGAATATGAGTCCAAGTCCGTGCGCAGAAATCTTTTTGTTGATGAAAAAAATGGTTGAAAACACAACTCAAGTTACACAAGTGCTGAGCTTTGCTTCGTGGTGTCGTATTAGAAAAAAAAGTGCATTCTGAATCCGATCAGCAGAGGGTATTTTTATGAACTGAAAGATTTGCTTTAAATCCGACAGTTATCACATTTTTAATACGAATATGAGTCCAAGTCCGTGCGCAGAAATCTTTTTGTTGATGAAAAAAATGGTTGAAAACACAACTCAAGTTACACAAGTGAACCGCGTAACTTCATTCATGGGCGCCGTTCGCGGTCAGAAAATTCACGATCTCCTCTCCTTTTCCGAATCTCCTCGCGTAACTCAGCGGAGTATCACCGACTTTGTCCCGCGAATTCACGCTCACGCCGAATTCCAGCAAAATTTCGAGCACTTTCAACAAAGGCTTGTTGCGTCTGGAATAGAAGGCCAGATGAATCGGACCGCTGTCTGCGGAGTATCACCGACTTTGTCGCGCGAATTCACGCTCACGCCGAATGCCAGCAAAATTTCGAGCACTTTCAACAAAGGCTTGTTGCGTCTGGAATAGAAGGCCAGATGAATCGGACCGCTGTCTAAAATGTCAGACTTTCGGATATCCGGATCAGTTCCTCTCAAAATGAATTCCTCTACCAGTTCCGGAGTTGTCAAATACGCCGCCTCGTGCAAGGCAACCGCTTTACCGCAGCAAGAACTTTCTTTCATCGGATCAGCGCCACACATCAGCAATTCCTTCACTGCGTCAATATTGTTGTAGATTTGAGCCGCGTTGTGCAACAGGGTCCAACCAGATGGTAGATGTGCGTTGATATCCTCTGGGAATTTTGAACAGAAGGGGCCGAATTTGGCACCGAAGCTCCGCAGGATATCTGCCAAATAAATAGATGTCGCTGACGACTTGAGTGCGATGCTCAATGCGGTCAAGCCGGTGTTGTCAGACAAATTTATATTTGCATTGTTATTGAGAAGAAATAGAACTCCTTGTTCATTATTTGCTTCTACTGCGTGCATCAAGGGCGTTTTTCCATCTTTGTCAGTTGCATCAATGTTTGCACCTGGAAAATACCAAGTTAAAGTTATTGCTGTTGCAAAAATAAATGGCAGTGTTAAATTTGTCAACACAAAATCAGAGAACCCAAATTCTCAGTAGAATCTTCTTGCATTTCAGCTCTGTGAGGATCTCAAAAGACCTTGGTTCTCACATTTCTTTCCAAGCCTTTGAGGCTGACTTTTACTGCTTAAATTCTGGTTGCTGTTTTTCATCCTTGAAGGACAGTTTTCAAAGTCTGCATGAAAACTTCACTTTCATTCAAGAGCTTGTGTGATTCACTCAAAGATTTTATGCGTGAACCATTTTGTTTGTGAAATTGACTATTTTTCAAAGTACATCAACCTTAAAATGGGGTGAAATTTCACCCCAGCTGCAGCCCAACCAAGCTCTGTTGTTTTATTCATCTAAATATTCATAAACCTAACCTTCTTCTCAAACATCAGTATTTGTTGAGAACTTATTCTTGGCAATTACTGCTGATTTTCCACATGTCAAAATTTTCAAGTTTTTCTTTTCAAAGTTTTGTCAATTTTTGACAAAAAAATTAATTATCAAATTTAATATTTGCAAATACAGTATTAAAGAGTCTTCTCAAACTCTGGGTATTGAGAGCCTTGAACGGCCATCAATATGAGTTATTCATAATCAACACTCCTATCATTGCTGATTCATGCTTATAAAAGGAATGCACACCTATCCACATAACCATACAATCAAATGCCAAGTTAATTTATTCAAATAGTCAAAATGTGAATTTTGAAGAAAGAACTGCTTGAGAAATGGATTTTCCTGCAAACACTTTGTTGCTTTATCCATCAAAGGATTTGATGCGCTCTATGCAAAACCTCAAATTAAAAAAGGGAGTAGTTATTTTCTGAATTCAATCTCCAATTCAAATTATTTTGCAGTACTACTGCTGGTGAAAGCCCACCGTATCAAATTTGTTGAAGGTCACTCTTTTACACATTTGATATAATGGCGGGGATACCATGAAAAACTATGCTGTTGAAATTATTATCTTGTAAAAAATGTCAAAAATATTGCACCAAAACATTTTGGTCGTTTTTCCATCAGGGACTCTTGTACTGTACTGCATAATTAACGAACTTTCACTCCTTCATCCTGTATTTTGGGAGAAATTCTGATTTGTTTCTGCTGACTGCTATATCTGCATAGAACAAATTTCTCCGAAGAAGTATTCCAGAATACTTGCTGAATATAAGAAATCTTGACTAGATTATTTTCTTCTTGAGAATATTTGTTGCTTCTGATGCTGATGTGACAAATTTGTTTACGTCAAGTATTAAATCCTGCAGGGAAACTGATGGACACGTTGATGTTATATTTTTTTATGAAGTTCTACAATTGCCGAAAAAGTTTGAATTCGGAAATTTTGGTCCCTGCATGACTTTACAAATAAGTTCACGGTTTTTTATTCATCTTGCTGTGACAACGTTCCATTAAACATACTGTATGTCCTTCTATAATAGTTTCCACAATTTTATTTTCGAGACTACTTTTTTATTGTACACAGTTTTATTGTAGCAAGATTCTAGGTACTACCTCAATTTAAAAGGAACATTTTCCAACTATGCATGTTAGATTACTTAGATAGATATACTACACAGCTGGCTTCCTGTTGAATGACGAAATTATTAAATAAAAGTCTCTTCAAATTATTCTTAATGTGTGTACAGCATATACCTTTTCGCAACAATGCGGCCAAAATTTCGAGTCTGTCATGCGTTCTTGCAGCATGATGCAACGCAGTCAAACCAGAGGAATCAGCAGAGTTGCCATCTCTAATCCCTTGACCCCCTGATTTCTCTAAAATTTGTTGAAAGTCGCACACAGTCCCGTTCACTGCAGAAATGAACATGTCAAGCCCGGTCACATTTTTCTGCCCATCGCACTCTGTTGATGCTTCATTCAAAATCCCTTTGAACTCGTTTCTCAGTAGTCTCAAAAACTTGCCCCCACCCAAACCAGCAACTGGAGTTCCTTTCTTGGTGTTTATATCCAGTCGCATTCCGTGCCTTGACAAATTTAGCACAGCGCGANGTTCGACCCTCTCAAAGAAGCGCAAAAAACGAAATAGCCAGCTGCTGGCGATGCGCAAATTGTCTCGCCTTTCCCGAAAAGACAATTTGTCTTCCAAAGTAAAGTGATGTAGAGCTGTCAAAATCTCCCCTGCAAAGGACGCTGTAAGTCAATCTGCTAGAATATTTTCCTTTCGCCGAAAATATTTCGGCAATAAACTCGAGCCAAAAAACACCCGGTCTTTTCGAGAAAACATGCTCTAGAATATATAGTCAAAACAAAATTGTAAAACTCTCGACAGCAACCGTCACCACCTGGTGTTTTGAACTTGCCACCCCAAAAATTTTACCCGCCAAAACTGGCGCAAAAACACATAAAACCAAGGAATTTGGCGCAACAGCCAGTCAGTCGAACTTTGAAAACCCTGCGAAAAACCCAATTCTAAACTAAACCAAACTCGTGAAAAGTTTCGAACTTGAGAAAATTCGGGAAAAATTTTCGAACTTAGAGAAATTTCGGAACCATCAAAAAAGGACTCTGAGGAAATTCGGAAATTCTCCTCAAGCCTCTTCTTTGTTTTTAGCTGATCTCGTCAGCAACCTGTCTTTCTGAGTGTTTGGACCCTGCTTTTATTTTTCCATCACTGGAATTTTTCAGACCAAAGATTCCCAAAAATCTGACCTGAAACTCTCCTTATTTCTTTTCCATCACTGGAAAATATTCATACCAAAGATTTTGTGAATACTTGTCATAATCTGCAACCGAGTGTGTGTGTATGTAAACCATTTTTGCCTGTCGTGTGCTGTGTGCTTTGTATCATTTTTTACTGCTTGCTCTGAAAAGAAAGGTCTGCGCTAGTTGGGAGAAATCCCGGTCGGTTCGCGCCCGACCAATTGCCGTGTTTTATTCAATCGATCCAAATTTTATTTCCTGAAACTCTGCTAAAACTCAATTAAGAAATTCAAGGTGTAAGGCTTGAAAAAATCCACTCTAGAATTAAAACCTTACACCAAAAGGCCTTCAGAAAATTTGACGCTTGCAAGTTCAAGGGGAGAGCCTTTGATTTCGGGAGGCGTTTAATGCATTATTTCTATAGGGGAATCCAGACAGTGACTTGAACAAATTGACATAGGGAGGCATTCGAACTCGGGGAGGTTTGATTTGAGATTTCGTGGTTCGACCTAAGCATGTATTTTTATTTGTTATACCAGAGAAAAATTCGGAGTGTGCGCTGTGGACTTCGCGGATAAGAATCGCAGACGGACGATGAAATCATCCGCACACTTTCTTCGCAAATTTTTGCGGACAATGGTTTTTTGAAAGATGGGAATCCGTGGTATGACGTCCCTGATGCTAAGCACTACACGGGGCTGCGCTGATTTTTCTCGCATAAGTTTCTTCCGAGTCAAGTGAAGGGGCTGTAAAACTTTATCCTCGCATTTGTTCCGAGCTGACCTTTGCTTCGTGGTATCGTATTAGAAAAGAAAGTGCATTCTGAATCCGATCAGCAGAGGGTATTTTTATAAGCTGAAAGATTTGCTTTAAATCCGACAGTTATCACATTTTTTATACGAATGTGAGTCCAAGTCCGTGCGCAGATGCCTTTTTGATGATGAAAAAATGGATGAAAATACAACTCAAGTTATACAAATGAACCGCGTAACTTCATCCATGGGCGCCGTTTGCGATCAGAAAATTCACTATGTCCTCGCCTTTTCCGAATCTCCTCGCGTAAGTCAGCGGAGTATCACCGACTTTGTCGCGCGAATTCACGCTCACGCCGAATGCCAGCAAAATTTCGAGCACTTTCAACAAAGGCTTGTTGCGTCTGGAATAGAAGGCCAGATGAATCGGACCGCTGTCTAACATGTCAGACTTTCGGATATCTGGATCAGTTCCCCTCAAAATGAATTCCTCCACCAATGCCGGAGTTGTCCAATACGCCGCCTCGTGCAAGGCAACCGCTTTACCGCAACAAGAACTTTCTTTCATCGGATCCGCGCCACACATCAGCAATTCCTTCACTTCGTCAACATTGTTGTAGCTTTGAGCCGCGTTGTGCAACAAAGTCCAACCAGATGGTAGATGTGCGTTGATATCCTCTGGGAATTTTGAACAGAAGGGGCCGAATTTGGCACCGAAGCTCTGCAGGATATCTGCCAAATAAATAGATGTCGCTGACGACTTGAGTGCGATGCTCAATGCGGTCAAGCCGGTATTGTCAGACAAATTTATATTCGCGTTGTTATTCAGAAGAAATAGAACTCCTTGTTCATTATTTGCTTCTACTGCGTGCATCAAGGGCGTCCGTCCATCTTTGTCAGTTGCATCAATGTTTGCACCTGGAAAATACCAAGTTCAAGTCATTGCTGCTGGTTTTCCACATGTCAAAATTGTCAAGTTTTTATTTTCAAAGTTTTGTCAATTTTTGACAACAAATTTATTTTCATATTTCATATCTGCGAATATTGAAGAGTCTTCTCAAATTGGGTGTTGTGAGCCTTGAAGAATGACCAATATGAGAGTTTTTAGAATCAGCCCTTCCATCATTTATTCATGTGTGAGTGGGGAGCTATTTTTGCTGTGACCCCACAGTATAGGTGCACACCAGGGTCATGACTGGTGCATATGGGATATTTTGGGGTTACAAGTATGCACTCCTGTGGAGGAATTTTTTGCTACCATTCCAGGGTTACACTTGGTGCACAAATGTGAAATAATAAGAGCATCAGTGTTTACGTGGTTGACATTGGAACCACATTGAATAAACAAATGTTTACACTGGGACTCATTACCTGGTGTGAACACAGAATTGGTGCACATTGGGGATATGCTGGTGCAACAGAAGAACTTTGGTACACTTCAGGTGTACAGCAGGGTCACTGTTTAGAATTATAGGAACAAATCCCCAGTTTTCACCAATTTCCCCCACTCAGGTGCTTATAAAAGGAATGTAAGCCTATGTATATATCCTCATAACAAAAGTGGAAAGTTACTTTATACCGAGTCAAAGAATGTAATTTTGAAGAAAGAACTGCTTGAGCAATAGATTTTGATGGAAACACATTGCTGTGTTATCCAGGAGTTGATGTACTGTAAGCAAAACCTTTAAGTATAAAAAGGGGTGGTTATATTTTCTGAGTTGAACCTCAATTCAACTTATTTTAGAGCAGTACTGATGATGAAAGCCCGCTGTGTCAAACTTGTTGAAGGTCACAATTTTAAACATTTAATATAATGACTGGGATCCCATTTATGAGAAACTATGCTGTTCAAATTATGATCTTGTAAAAAAATGTCAATAATATTGCACCTACAACTTTTTGGTCGTTTTTCCCTCAGGGACTTTTGTACTGTTCAATTATCAGACTTTCACTCCTTTGTCCTGTCTTTTGGGAGCAATTCTGTATCGTTTCTACAATTCTACTGACTGCTAAACAATATCTGCATGTGTAGAAAAAATGTCTCTGAAGAAATATCCCAGAATACTGTACTTGATGAATACTGAAGAAAATCATAACGAGATTATTTTCCACTTGAGAATATTTGTTCCTTCTGATGCTGATATGACAAACTTGTTTATGTAAAATACAGTATTATTATATCCTGCAGGGACACTGATGCTATTTTTTTATTAAGTTTGTTATCTTAGAAATACAGTAACTTACAGAAGACCCTTTTTGGTAGTTTCAGAAGAAACCTTTTTTGAAAGCCTAGAAATGGGAAATTGCTGAAGCAAATATAATCGCTGCAATTTCCTTGATGAGAAGTCTTTACAACTTCTCATGACAAGTTACAGTAACCTTCAAAGGATAATTAAAAAACAATCAATCCTGAAATCCTGGTGGGCTCAACTCTTTACGAAATGGGAGTGATATTTGTTTCTCTTGCTCTTGTTGTGCCTGGTCATTATCACTGATGTGTAACCAGAGCAATTATATTTCACTCAGAGCAATTCCACCTTGTTCATTTCACAGATCAGGATTTCTGCTATTAGAGTCGCGATGATTGTTTCCTTTGTTTCCCACATCTAGACTGGCTAGGTTTAAATACCCCTGCTTGGTGAAATCTCAAGAGAGATCTCATCCAAGCTTCATACCATAAACTCCATAGTCAAAACTCTGTTAAAGCTCAAACCTATTTGAAAGTAAAGACAAGCTGGACTTGTGTGTTTGTGCATTTGTATTGTTGTATTGAATGATTGTATGTGGATAAGAATATTGTATAAAGGATATTAATCCAGAATAAGAACGTAGTTCTTTTATTCTTGACTCACAGTCCTGTAATAGAAAGGACAACAAGTCCTACTATTGCCAAAAAAAGTTTGAATTTGAAAATTTTTGTCCCTGCATGATTTTATAAAGAAGTTCAATGTTTTTTTATTCATCTTGCTGAAACAAGGTTTCATCAAACATATGTCCTCCTAGAATATAGTCTCCAAAACTTTGTTATTGCAGGATTCTGAATGCTTCCTCAATAAAAAAAATTCCAACCATGTCTGTTAGATATACACATATACTACACAGCTGGCTTTCTGTTGAATGACAAAATTAATAAAATATAAATATCTCTTCAAGTTATTTTTTAATGTGTGTGTATACCTTTTCGCAACAGTGCAGCCAAAATTTCGAGTCTGTCATGTGTTCTTGCAGCATGATGCAACGCAGTCAAACCAGAGGAATCAGCAGAGTTGCCATCTCTAATCCCTTGACCCCCTGATTTCTCTAAAATTTGTTGAAAGTCGCACACAGTCCCGTTCACTGCAGAAATGAACATGT